TTTCCACTTTTATTTATTCTTTTATTTAAATATTTTGTATATAGATATATATGTGTTTATCGTACTGGGTTTTTTGTTAACAGATTTGTTACTTTGATCGACTACAAAGGAAAAATATCATTATGGCTAGACAAATTCCTTTAATCAAAGAATGGGATAGTGATAAAATAGCAAAAAGAATTGCTATTGAGAGGAAGCTTGGCTTTGGGCTTGGCACACTGTTGGATAGAATTGAGATCCAAGATGGTTGTGGCCAGCCTTTAGCTATTGAAGGTGTAGTGGACCAACAACAGCAACCGCAGCAGCAACAACAGCAGCAGCAACAACAACAGCAACAACAGCAACAGCAGCAACAACAAGTTCAGGAGGAACAACAACAACAACCTCAAGAACCTTCTAATTTACAGGTAAGCATTTTATAATTAAATATATAAAGTATGTTCTTTAATGGTTAAATATTATGTTCTTTAATGGTTAAACTTGTGTTCTGTAATGGTTAGACTTATGTTCTTTTCCAACTAATTACATGTTATTTTGCTTTCTAATTAAGCATGTATTTTTTTTAATTTTCAGTGTTCTCTAATGACTATGGTTATGTTCTTTTTTATTCCTTACATGTTCTTTTATTTTCTAATTCAGCATGTGTTATAATTTTTAGTGTTCTTTCATGATTATACTTATGTACTTTTTTATTAATTACATGTTCTTTTTTTTCTGTACTTTGTTCTTTTGTAGGAATGCACCCATTTGCTACGCCAAGCAACAGAAACAATTGCTTCTGGATTTGTGAACCTCTCCAAAATTCTTAAGATGGGAGAGAGGTTCCATAATAGACCTATTGATGGGGATGCCACACTGTACAATGTAGCTGCAATGTGGTCCAGACTTTCTGGCATTAAATTGTCGGAAAAAGTAATAAACAATGTACCTTCTCAAAGGGTTGAGGGGAGTTCCATCCTGAGCCAAGATACAGACTTCTTTGCATCTGACTGGTTTGGTGAGATGGTTGACAATGTTGTCAAGAATTCTGGAGTGGAAGGAATCACTGTGGAGAAAGAGAAAGAAGGAGGTGAAGAGGAGGATTCTCAACCCACTGAGTTGGAGCCATTGGTATTCAGTGTGGTTACCCCTTTGACTCCACCAACACAATATACAGGTGATCTAGACCTGAAACTGGCATTGAGCACAGGAAGTCCCCTCAATCTGGGAAACCAACAATTTTCAGACATCGATGAATTTGATTCAGCATTCACTGACCAACAGTTGGAACCAAGTGTACCAGAGGAGATGTTAGATGGTCAAAAGACAGGGTAACTAATAATCTCAAAATGTGATTTCAGATTTGTGTGGTATATTTATTTAGATTTGAATGATTTAGAATACAAATCTGTAATATTTATGTATTATTTAGATGAATGTTGTAACGTTCTTTATGATTTCCTAACTTGTTCTTTACAATTTCATATGTTGTTCTATGTGTTGTCATATAATATTCTATAAAGTGTAATGTTCTGTTTGATTTTATATAATGTTCTCTGAGATTTTATGTGATGTTCTTTGATTTTTTATTTGATGTTCTTTATGGTATCATATCATTTAATGTATGTTTTTTTTTATTAATGATGTATAATATAACTACCTTTGAGTGTAAAAAGGATGCCAGATGAAAACAAGGATCAAGGTATTTTGAGAAGGTGGTAGAAGAAAATGTAGCTGAAAATCAAAGGTATATACATATATACATAGACTTTATAATTATTATGGGTTATTGTTGTTACTTCATAAATATTTTTTGTTTACAATTATTGATTAATACAGTGATGCAACCGAAAAAGAGATGGTATATGTTAGAGCAAAAAGACAGAAAGGAAAGGAGGAAAATAAGGAAAAAAGGTATATGTTCTTTTATAAAAACTGTATGTTCTTTACGTTTTGTTCTTTGTTCTTTTTATAAAAATTTTATAAAAAAATCTATAAAAGATAATTATTATACTGAATAGTATGATTAATTATATATGTGTGCCTTTTTAGTGATGCAACTACAGAAAAGGTAGATTGCAAAAAAAAAAACAGAAAGGAAAGGAGAAAGTGGAAGAACAAAGGTATATGTTCTTTTTTTAGAAATATATGTTCTTTTTAAAAGTATTGTTTGTTATTTCAAATGATATGTATGTTCTTTTACATAAAATTTTATTTGCAGTGTTGGTCCAACACCTACAAAGAGAGCTAGGAAGTTGGGAAAGGTGTACAGGTCTCCTTTCCTAGTGCAATATTCTCATTTGATAGAGGGCACAGATGAGTTCAAAGAAGCTATACTGGAATATGCTTTTTCGGATGTACTTGATGAAGAGTATGTTTTTATTCCTTGTACTAAACTATGCTTTTTCATATGAAATTGATGAAAAACAAGCTTTATTACCCTTATTTAATATTTCTATATTTTTTTCTTTTTATATTTTTTTTTTCTTTTTATGTAGTGAGTTATTTTATGACGATGGATTTGCACATTTGTCAAGAAAATTGATCAAAACAATGGGCGACAATGTATACATCTACAGCGATATAGTTGACGCTTTTTGTCTCATACTTAATGCAAAAAATTCTGCTGATGACAAAAAGAGGATTTTCTTCCCAAATGCAGCCATTGTAAGTGTAATTCAATTGGTTTTGATCCCTATTTTTTTTTAGGATATATTATTAATTTGATTCTAATCCTTTTGTTTTTATAAAACATAGAACTTGTTATGCGTGAGCGATGCGTATGTTGATGATAGTCAAGAAGCTACATATGGTATCAAATATGTTAAATTCGAAGAGACAATCAGATATTGGCTAATTGATTGCAATATAGAATCAGTTAAAGGATATCAGCTGGTAAGTCATATAATGTTCTTTTATTTTAAAGTAGTGTTCTTCTGAATTTAGTATATGTTCTTTAATTTTTAAGTAGTGTTCTTCTGATTTTAGTATATTTTCTTTTCATGGATTAGTTACACATTTTCTGTGACTTCCTTCACTATGTTCTTTTTATTTCTTTGATTGTTCTTTTATATACGTGTGTTGTTCTTTCATGTTTATATCATGTTCTTTACAGTATATTCAATGTTTTTTTTAAAGTACATGTTTTTTTATCTGCCTGTTTCAGTTGTTCTTCCCTGTGTATGCGCACGACCACTTTTATGTGATGGTCATAAATACAAAATCAAAGGCTGTGGAAATTTTGGATAACAGACCACTTGTAGAGGGTGTTTCTTTTTCAGAAAAGTACCATGACTATCCAGAGAAGTTGGTAAGGATGTTATTTAACTTTTATAAATAATGTATGTTTTTAATTAAAATATATAGTGTTCTTTTTGTCTAACTTTTATATTCTTTCGTTGTGTATGGTAGAGGCATGCCTTCTCAATGTACCTGAAACAACATGGGATGAAGTTATGGGAAAAAGTCCTCAACTATGAAATAAAATTGGTAGACATGCCATGGAGAACATTGGACAACAATGTTGATTGCGGAATATACGCAATGCGCCACATGGAGACATACTTCGGGAAGCGTAAATGGAATTGTGGCTTGAGGGCTGATAATGTAATATTATCATATTTTGTATTTTTTTTTATTTAAGAAAATAACAAACATTAATGTTATTCTTTTGTTTTTTTTTCTTTTTTGTGGGTGAACAGTTTGATGCATTGAAGGCACTTAGAATACAGTACGCATATGAGATTCTTGTGGATCAAGTGAATAAGCGTCATGCAGATTTTAGCATGAAGGCCAAGAAATATTTCAAGGAAATTAGGAATGATTAGAGACACTTGTGTTAGTTTTTGAACAAGTATGTCTTTTTGAAAATTTGGTGGATGTTGAACAATTAGCACTGTTTATTTTTTGTATAGTTGGGGCTAATAAACTTTGGAAGCATATTGATTTGGAAGAAAGAATAGAATGAACATGTACAATGTTCTTTATACAACATGTGTTCTTCTGATTTTATGCAATGTTCTTTTGATTACAAACAATGTTCTTTTATTAACATATAATGTTCTATTGATTACATATAATGTTCTTTTAAAAACATCTGATGTTCTTTTTGTTCAGTGAAATTTTATTTCTAGTTATTTTGCATCATATGTCTTATAAACTAACACAAAATATGTCTTTTTATAGGCCACAGTAACCACCATTAATATGCAAAATATGTCTTGTTAAAAAAAAAACTGAAATAGAGTGTTCTAATTTATAAGATCTTATTAAAAAAAAATTAAAAAAAATATAAGGACAAATATGAAATAAAAAAAATTGTTAACGTAGACTAAATAGTACATATCATTTATAATTCTCTAATATTCACTCCAAAATAGTCATCAGGCTAAAAAAACTCCAAAGATCCTCCAAATTCGTTGGAATGTGCCAGAACATTTCCATCAGGTACAGGGAGGAAATCCTTCCAAAAAAAAAAAAAAATTATTTAAGTAAAAGAACAATATGTATAAAATGAAAGAACAAGTTGTAACCATAAAAGAATGTAATATAATATAATTAAGAACAATATATACCTTAATCGTAGTCTGTGCTTTTTGTTTCATCTTTGAAACACCCTTTGCGCTTTTCTTTCTCCATGACTTTATCTTTTGACCTTTGAGCTTGTTGGAAACCTTTTTCTTTGTGCTTTTCCACCTAGTATTCTTTTGACCCTTTTTCCTTTTTTTGATAGGATCCTTGACATCTACCTGAACTGTGTGTTCTTTAACAATGCCTCCATGTTCTCTTTCAAAACCTCCATGTTCTTTTTCAAGTCCTCCATGTTCTTCAGCCAATTCCTCAAATATTACTGCTGGTTCTAATAGACTGCCATCACCTTTTTCTTGAGTAACATCTTGTTCATTCGTTTTTGATAACTCAGGTGGCACATCTTTATCTTCTCCCATCAAGAGATTAATCCTAGCAGTGCATTCTTCAATTGCTTCCTCAATGACAGCTCGAGCACTCAAGTCATTTTGTGCTCAATCTACAAGTGTGATAAATGTACGAATATGATACAATCTCCATACACTACAAGGAGTGACACCCATTTCAGCAACATCATTGTCATCAACTCTAGTGCACATAGCAGCTTTTGTCCATCTCTTGCAAATGTATCTCTTTGGGATATAAGTAATGTTGTTTAAGTGTAAGACACGAAGTGAGTGCTTGCACAACAAACCTACCTCACCAAAATATTTGCAAGTACAATCAACTGTAACTGTTGATTCATCAAATGCAACAGTATGCATGATCAAATCCTTTTTTGGATGCCCAACATGATATTCATAAAGTGGAGGTTGAAATCCTATTACCTTTGCCGTGCAGGGAACACCATTGACAAAATTGTCTTCAAAATGTAAATAGATTTGAATAGTATAAATCTTCCTTGCATGCTCCAACAATCCAATATCTGCCCAAACTATATGACGATTTCCAGTCATACTATCATAATCATTACTACCTTCTCTACTCCTCCACTCATCAACAACCTCAATAAAAGTAGTGTAGAAATCACATAGACCATGAGTGGCATGTAGTCGACGGGAAACTGATTTGTTAGTAGTTTCACTCCTCTGAGATGACATAACACCGCCACTAAAATAATCTTTGGAATATGCAGGACACCACATCTCTTTGATATTATACAGATTTTGCAGCCATTTATTATCTGTGCATTTGTACGTTTTCTGCATGCTGTAAAATAAAAGAACATCATACTAAGTGAAAAGAATGTCAAATATAATAGAAAAGAACACTTGTCTACTTAATTCCAGCACATTAAGTTCACTTCAGAAGAACATCAAATATATGATAAAAGAACATTAAACGAACAACACAAGGAACATTATTTTAAGTAAAAAGAATGTCACATGTAATAAAAAAGAATATCTCTCTATATTAATCCAGCATATTGGGTGTACTTGAGAAGTACATCAAATAAATTACAAAAGAACATTAAACATGAAAATAAAGAACATCGTCTAGCAACTTAAAGAACATTGAATCAGTAAAATATTTAAATAACATAATTTTAAAATTATTAATTCATAGCGTTACCTTGACCAATAGTGCTCGAATTCTTAAATAGTATCGGTATACTTCAAAACAATATCAAACAAATCATTAAAACCTTCCTTTGCTCTAAGTCCTTTGATATTTTTCTTTGCATTCTCCCCAATATGCCACGTACATAGTCGATGTCTGGAATTTGGGAAGACAACCTTAATTGCTTTGGCCATTGCTTGAGCTTGGTCAGTCATTATTGTCACCGGATGTTTGCCACCCATGGATTTCAAAAAAGTATTGAGCAACCACTCAAAAGATTCCCATTTTTCATTGATCAAGAAGCCAATACCAAACATGACATTATTGTTATGATGATTCATACCAACAAAAGGTCCACAAATCATACCATATTTGTTTGTACGGTACGTTGTATCATGGACTAATAAATCACCAAAAGCATCATAATCTACCTTCATTCTATTATCACGAAAGAAGAAAGATTGCAAATGACCTTTTTCATCAACATCAAAGTCATAAAAAAAGTCATACTCACTAGATTTCCTCTCCTTAAAATAGCTAAGCAAGCGCTTTGCATCACAACCGTCAAACATCATTTTCTTATGTTGGGATAAAGCACCATACGCATCCCTACAAAGAAATGAAAGATTTGCCTCTCCACCAGCTTGATGTTTTAAAACACGCACTGCATCAGCAACAGGTATACTACTCTCAGTCAAGCTACTCATCATCACAACTTGTTCATTAGTAACCTGTGTACATACAAAAAAACACATTGTTTCAAAAATAAGAACAGCATGTATTTGTTAAAGAACATATATTGCGCATTTAAGAACATGATTTAAAATAATTTTAAAAATTGTACCATTACCTTCCTATGAGACCTAATCAAATGTCTCTTTGAAACAACAACCCTACTATGATTATGAACCATAGTGTGATTGACCACGACATACAAACCAGACACCTTATCAATATCAAATTGTATATGAGCCTTGCAACCTGTGCGGAAATTCCTCTTTTGGTAAACTTTTGATTGTTCACCATGCTTCTTCTCTTGCTTAAAGCCAACAAAAGAACACACCAAAAAGCGTTGCCTAGGTGTCCTATCTTTGTCATCTCTACGATTCAACCTATCTTTACGTATACCAAAACCATGTTTAAATGCATAACTATTATACAAATCATAAGCCTCTTCATCAAACTTAACTTTTCTGTCAAATAATTCTGATTCAGTTGCCTCGGTAAAACCTGAAATAGGATATCAAAATACATATATATTAAGCTGATGTTCTTACATAATAACATGATGTTCTTTTAAAGGTATAAAATGTTATTTAATATATTTGTAATGTTCTTTATTAAATGCACATTGATAACGGCACATTAATTACAGAAAATACAAAACAGAGTACAACAAAAGTACACGACTCTTTCAGGAAAGTACATTCCATTACAATAAAAGTATATAAAGAGTACTACAAAGTACCTATATAATTAACAATTGCACATGCACTAATAAATAAAATCAACATTGATTTCAAATTACATATAATAACAAATAAAAAAGAACATATGTAAATAATAAAAGAACTTCATCTTCAACCTCATGAAAATCACTGTGAAATTAAAAATATAAAGTAATTCGATAATAAAATTAAAATTATTAGTAATAACTAAATCTAATAATCAAAATTAATGATTAACAAATGAAAAATATAATGAATTAAACAATTCACCTTCATTAAGGTTTACGATACCCTCGACTTCACCTTCATCGTTGATATCATAATCATTTGCATCATCGACAAATCTAGCATTAGAATCATGGCGAAATTCAGATTGATAAACCATTAATAACTTCTTCTACAATGAATTCAAATGATTGATCCTCAAAATTTTCTCTGTAATTCTCTCTCTGTAATTTTCTCTCACTAAAAAGTTTGAAATCTCTATGATTTTCCCTCTTTAAATCTTTTTTGAAAATATCAGTTAACAAAAATTAGCAAAAACTGAAAGCTATAAAATCGGCAACAATTTAGCAAAATTCACGTGATGTTAAACTGTCTCTTTTTTTTTTTAAATTCCCGTAATTAGAAATTAATGGAATTAATCCTGCCAACTCAGCAGGTGTACCATGAGCATGGTACACCCTTGTGTACTATCAAACTTTCAAATTATAATATGTGGTGTGTTGCGTAAAATTCTACCGTCAATAAAAAGATAAATTTTTTTCAAAAAATTATAAAGTATTTTATGTATACTTTTATATGCTAAACAAATCTATCCAATCTAATCTAATCACAATAATATTTATTTGTCGCCTAAGTGGCTCGACACTTGGCAAAAAACTGGAATGCCAAATGTCGCTATCTCGTGGCCTGGCTGCGAGACTGACTTTATTTATTAGTGATATGTATAAAATGATTTGTATCCCAAAAAAAAAAAAAAAAAAAAAAAAAAAAAGTAAAAAAAGTCATGTATTATGTAAGCTATATTTCAAAGAGATCTCCCACTTTAAAGAGTGTCATTTACAGATTTACGGAGTTAGTACAAGGCATAACACCTACTCCGCATTAGTAGGTAGTTCCCAAGAGATAAAGCGCAAATTCCACCCCGAATCCAAATGAAAATGACAAAAATACATGTTGATCGATGTTAAATCAAGCCTTATATTTCTACTTTAAACTTCTACAAGGATAGGTTAAGCAATTTCCGCCAAACTACACAGAACAACCTAACCATACATTATACTTAGTATCACATTATCAAACCAGACACAAAGGCAACTCACAAATTATCACTGTAATCAAGCCCCCTTGAAATACAAACTAACAATTGACGTTGCCATCTTTTCCAAACAATAAATAAAATACATTCCCATGTCATTTTCTGTGAGCTAATTTCTACTGATCTAAATGTATGGAAAGAATGAACAAAATAGTCAAGAGGAACGATCGTGGCGACTTGCATTTCATGAAGATCCAACAGTTCTAAGAAGTTAATTCTGTTTGGAGTCATCTTCTACAGGGTCAATATAGTAAAGCGATGCCAGACAAACAAGGACATCTGTGAGGAGAAGTCCCACAACATCAAACACATACTTTGGGGCAAATAAACCCCATACCTGCAAGGCAGTTTGTACTCTTTAGTTTAACAAAGGCACAACAAATGAACCAAGAATTACTGAAAAAAAGGTGTAATCATTACCATCAAATGCCGTCTTTGTATTGTAACACATAGTACCATACAGGCCACTGAACTTGTAGTCATACATCCATACATCAAATATACCTAACCATACGATAAAAGAAATTGATCAGCAACTTACAAAATCTATAAAACTGATTCCACAATGAGAGCATATAAACTGCACATTTGCGTATGGGTCAACTTACTTGAGATAATTGTGCCGATACGGAGAGTTTGCTTTGCCTTTTCTGATTATTTGAATGTCTTTGAGAAATTAGAATAGGAAGACCAAAAATTGGTAGCAGGAGAGAAAAACCAAACGTGTCAATTGCCAGCAGAATTGCTTGTCTTACAAGCATGAACTCATCAAATCTGCAAATGAAGAAAAAACCACTTGTACAGTTGCTTGAAGAACACATGATCAGTTAATGTGTAGGGGAAAGATGCAAGCAACTATTAACTTAATCAAAATTACATGCATGAGATCATTGGAAGCCAAAATGAGGGCTTCACTATAACCAGCCAAGTCACATATCCATATCCTTCTCCTCTATGCATGTTATATTTCATAACCCATTTGCAACAAAATGCAGAGTTCAGAAAGTATCCTCACCCAACAAATGCAGCACCATATCGAAGGCCATCAAATGCACACCTGTATGAAGATGAAACACAGCATTAAATTTTATTGTTGGACAAAGATCTAAGAAAATACAGCTTATTATAATTGCTACTCAAATAGAGTAGATTCCTACAAACAAACATCGAAATAAGCCTTCAGATCCCTACCAGTGACCGCTGCAGAAAAAAAGAGCAACTGCAAGAAGGCTCCACTGAGTTGTAGGAAGAGAATAGAAAGTAACATTGCTTGAAGTGCCATCTGTAGCAACTTGCCATACGTTCTCCAACCTCATGATGCAAAATGCTGGGAAATGGCAGACCAAATAAAATTATTAAGGAATAGAAAGTCGTGCAATCAATCAACTAGGATAATGCAGAATATTGAGACTCCTCTGATTCATAATACTAGGCATTTAGCTGATTCTTTTTTATCCAAAAAATGAGTCATTCTACAAGATTAACACAACTCAAATGTCACCTTATGGAATCAATATGGTATTATAAGTCATTTTGCCAAATCAATGCAACATTCATTTTTTTTAGTAAAGAGTAATGTTAATCTTAACTAATTCTATCTGAAATCTCAATACATAAAACGACTTATATTTTGAATCAGAGGGAGTAAGCAATAACAAATTTAACTTGGCTAAAAGCTTCAAAAGGGCATGGCATAAGCACCTGCACCGACAGAAGTTAAAGCAACAACAGATCCTTGCTTTCCTGACAGTAGTATGATTGCAGAACTCCATGCACTTAACATGGCAATTATCTTACTAGCAAGGTCGTTTTGATGATACAAGGTCCTCTTTCTGATAAACAGCTGATTAATCACTAAAGCCGCCAATTGGGCAATTCCAACAGCATATATTACCCGAGGAATGTAACTTTTTCCAATGTCCTGGAGTGTGACAGGAAGATTTAAAAGTTCACTATCTAGGATCCAGTGTAATGCAATGAGCGCATAACACAAGATGGTTCCCAAAATAACATATTTTTGGACCCACTGACAAGAGTTGTTGCAAACATATTTGAGCAACAGGTATGCTAATAATAATAGAGCTAGTATAGACACACTTGAAGATAGAGAGATCCAAAACAAATTATCATGGGCATTCCCAAGCATTGAAGCAACACTTGATAAGTTACCAGCCTGCTTTGACAGCCCAAATTCCATAATAAATCTGAGTGCAGAGACCAACAATAATAATAGAGCCGCCTGCAAATATATGAATGGAGAAGAATCAGCATCCAAGGAATTGTAACAAACAAAATAGTTGTGACCAATGAAGCTAAAAGGGTAAAGTTAGCAGAATTAATATAAATGCCTAATTGCCCATTTCACCAGCAAAATGACCAACAAAAAGAAATAGCCTTACTTCTAATAGCATCTGTGCCTTATTAAATGAATTGCGCAGCTCGAGGATGACAGATGTTCCCAAGAAAAATAAGGCAACTTTTCCTTCTTCCACTATATAACACAATGAAATACATAGCATACAATGTCAAGAATGCAAGATCATCTGGTGCAACAAATCATATGAAAAAGGAATGAAACTTACATATATAACTATTTGAAAGGAAGCTGCAAGCTCTTATGATGACTGCAAAAATTGAAAAAACTAAACCAACAGAGGCCTCAGGGCATCTGGTAGACAGAGAAGACTCATAAAATGTGTTCACTCTCTTGATAGCAAATACTTGTACAAGAAGCGACAGAAAAAGAATGCTCAAGCCAACCACCATAAGTTTCAGATTAAACTCCGTCCATTTGGAGCGAGCAAGGCCAATAACACTGTCAAGATAGTGTGCGTACATATCAATCTGCCTCATTAAAGCAGGGAATGATGAAGGACAACTTTCATTCATGTCGGACAGTGAACCTTTCACAACATGCAGCCAGTTCTCCTGTGCTCGAGAATACATGTCTACCGCATGCAACAAGTCCTCAGAGGGGAATCCAATGACAGATGATGCTGAGTACACATTAATATATCTCTTCACCTACAAAAGTTTAAAAAGCATTTAATTCCAGTCTAAAGGGAAATGAAAAAAGATGGGAAATATAAGGCGATCATATATATATATATATATGATCAAGCTACTCCAACAAAGCCAAGAGAATAGTACCAAATATTTCTTCCTCTTAAATAAGATTGTACAATCAGAGAAGGCAACAAACAGGGAAAAATTCAGAGAACTTCAAATACATCTTCACAGAAAGCACATGTAAAAGAAATTTGGCATAGAAGTTAGATCTACCTGCCAAGCATTGATGCAAAGGGCATTAACATAATGCTGCATCCATCTCACTATGTCTGAGTCACTTTCATAAACTTCCATCTGAATACCTTGAGAAAGAAAATTCACCGCGCCAAGAGAATAAAATTGTGGATTTACACGCCCAATGCTGGAAAAGAATCCGATCAGAGGAATAAGTAATCAGATCGGATTTAAACAATAAACAAGTACTTACCACTGACTAAAAGTATAAATTTATGCATTCTACATATTTGACTGACAAAAAACCAACTCTCATGAAAATTAAATTTTCAGGCAGTTGGGGATTTTTTATCTGATTGAACCACAGAAAACAATGTAATGAACTGACCTAGGGGAGGGGCATTAAGGGTAGTCTAATACTACCTCTGATTCACAATAAATGTAACATCGCAACGTTTTGACAATTTTCTTTGTCAAAAAACAACTTTGTCCGTTAATGTTAGTATATATCCATTAGTAAAAAATTATAGAAAAATAATTTTTGAAAATATACATTAAAACAAATCCAACAATATACATATTATTAGTATTAAATTTTTATATACAAGTGAAAAATGTAAAGCAAGTTGAATATTATTAAGAGAGTGGAAACACTTTGGAGAGCTCTAACCTCTCGGGTTTTGGCTAGGAGGAGAACAGCCTCAAAATCTTGTACCATCTTTGTTATATTTAGGTTTTAATCCCAATTTCACCATCTTCTTCCTTTAAATTTTCTAGTTCATAAGCTTTATTGGTCAAAATAATATTTTCACCTCTTTACCAATTTTACCAAAGTCAATCCTCTGTTAAATAAAAATTTTACCTATAGTTTGACTAAATCATAATGATCCTGTATACATCATGTGTCACACAAAAATCCATAAATCACCAGAACAGCATGTGTTAAGGAGTTGAGAAAGAGTTGATAGGAGCTTATATTGCACCTTCCAAAAGGAAAAGGAACACCAAGCATTGCCGATATAGTTACTGCAAAATCAAGCTGCAAATAGTAAATCAACTAAACGCTCAAAATACTATGCTTCGATAGTACCGTACATCATACAACATCCAATAATACACTAACCTGCTCAATGGTGCCAACACATAGTGGCTTTGCATCCTGAAACATAGAACTTCTTTTAGTCTGCTTTTGGTTAAATTTCTACACAAATATCTAGTGAGCTTCTTCACCCTCCCCAACCACAGTACCCAATACACCTCTGCTCAAACAGCATGCAGAGGTCAAATATTGCCAGTTAAGTAAAAGCAATATCAAAATAATGATGTATTGTGCAAGCAGATATGAAAGTAAGACAAGTCATGTAACACTGCCACACTCTACAGTCTCATTCATAAGGCTTAAAGTCAGAGCACAGGTAAGTGTATAAAGAAGAAAGGAAATACCACATTCAATCCACAAGATACAGAATCAAGCTCAGATGGCAATGAAAATGTGCCATTCTTGAAACTCATAGCAAATATTGATGTTTCGACCTGCATGATATAAGGGACATCAGCTCTACAACATTTTGATTAGCAATTCACGGACTCCTTACTAAGAAAAAAATCATTAATGAGAAATGTGTATCATTTCATTTTGTGAAATAAAAAATACTATATTTCAGTGCTGAAACAAAAAATTTGTATCACACCTCCTCTGGGCTTCCACCACCATGGTCACCATTCAATGTTTGGCCATGATCACCCATCACAACCAAGAGAGTATTCTCATGGAGACCACCTGCTCCTGACTGGCTCTTTAAAGCTTCCACAACTTCCTATAAGAAAAACCACAGAGAATCAGAGGGTATAAAAATGAAATAAAGTAGGAAAAAGAAAACCTTCAACAGTCTCTAGAAATTAACACTAATCATCAGCCTCCTAGAATTAAATGTCATGAACATTCCCAGTCTTAATCTAGCAAATGAGAAGACAACAGATTCCACATGAAAAAAAAAAAAAAAAAAAAATCCATGCGCACAAATGAATTGTCGCTATTAAAGACTTACAACACACTGGACATCCTAATTATTTTGGAGTAACCCATACTTTCTCTTAATTAAATGATGCCGCAGGGACATTGCAACTTGTTTATTTCAAAAATGGAGCTGAACACTTTTTTTTTTTAGGGGAGGGGGGGGGGGGTGGTTGAAAATGTGGAAAACATGAAATCTACAACAATGCCAGATGGACCAAAATCTAACAATACTAAATATTTAGTCTTCACATTTCTTCTCTATCACCACATTCAAACAAAAGCATGAATTCATAAAACCCGAATTAGGGGTCTTAACAAACATTATTGCAATTCTTAATAAAGCTTAACAAAACATTTGCACCTCTCACAAGTCACAATAGATATCTCTTAACAAATAACTTCTCTGGTTCTTTTTCAATCGCTACATATTCCCAATTCAGGAGGTTGCAAAATGATTGCAACATCACTTTATTTGGCCTATAACTCTCTCTCTCTCTCCTCATCACATGGGTCCCACTTTCTATCTCTCTCATCTCCTTAAACACTGTGCATCCCACTCCACGCTGCAATTAAAAATGAATGTTGACAGCATATCTCATAACCCTTTATATTATGATTATCTATAAGCTTTAGTAAACTGACCTCCATTATACTGTTATACTGCTCCAACTTATGTATCATAGGCATTGTATTGACCCCAAAAATGTGCCCAGCATGATCCTGGTACAGAGAAAGTTTAAAAAACCATTAGATGTGAAATAACTTACATACAAGGTTAGACTGAAACTCCAGGATGACAAAAATTATATCACAAAGACAGAGCATAATGAAACGGAATTCTACCTATCTAGAAGGTCTTGGAGAGTACACTTTACACCGGCAAAGTGGCTGCTTCTATAGTGTGTAAAAAATTTACATTCAACAACAGAGTAACAGACCACACTAATAGTCAGAGTCAAACAAATGGAATTTCACACTTAATGGGAAACAGCCTAAAGTAACCAAAGTTTGGGCAAAATAAGTTCTATTAAGAAAATTCCATACACAATAAGCTTAGATCAGACAATCAATTCAGACAAATCAAGTTCAGATAAGAAAAGTATATATCCTCCCCGGCACCTGAAATGCACCAACCAAAGCAAAAGAAATGAAAGTTTGCTATTATTACATTTATGTTAGGCAACATTGTGACACCAACAAAAAGACTAGCAATTACATTTTACATTTATACACAATTACATCTCCCTCACTTTAAGGCTTTCAATGATGTCACATAGTGCAGTCATATATCCTCTTTGGTTAGAAAACATAATTTTATTGTATTCAAAGATGGTTGGCATGAAGTTCTTGTGAATCTTACGAAGTATATTTTAGCAACAACAATCTAGAATCATAGAAACTTCAACAACATTTTTCAGTATAGTAAAATAAATAATCTTCATAAATATCTTAAATCTGTAAAAAGCACATAAGTACAACCTCGGAATAAGCATTTAGTCATCTATAAGAGACTTGTTCCAGAAGAATCTTTATGCCACTTGCCCACTTGATCAAGTTAGATATTCAGCAATTATAGAAGGCAGCATTATGATAAAATTAAGTGTTTCATGGAGAATAGCAGCAAGCACTTTGCTCTACATTTTCAGATCCTATTTTTTGTTTCTGTAATTTGTTTTGTTCCCTTATAAATAAGTCCTAGCCTCAAGAACATTCCTTGATCGCCCAGTCCACCAGAAACCACAGGCCCCATACACCCACTTTTCCCATACAGAAAACTCCAACTATTACACTGGCATCAATACACTCCTAGAAGAAAGAGAGAAAGAGATAAGAAATGCAAATATAAGCACCTTCTGCCATGTGAGAACTGAAATTTATCTGATTTGGAAAATAAATAATTGGATGCAACTGCACAAATGTGGATCGAGGATTTAACTCCAGTAAATTCAAAAAGAACCACAAGTTTTGCTAATTTGCAGTTTCTGGTTGCTGCATGTTTAGATGTCCATGTATGTACTACAATCCACATAAAGAAGGGTGTACATTGTTCAAAAACTGAATTTAAAAGTCGGGGTAATATAGTTTCTAATACTTCAATGTAATATTTGTACTCTAAGTCATAATATAATTTCTAATCTCAATCATTCCTACTTAACCAGAAGTGCGTAATATCAATAGAATACTTTCTTTGCCACTTATAGATAACAAATAGCTTATCAACCAAAAGAGCAACAATGCTCGCCTTAACAAGGCCTTGGCCTAAGTCCAACATCATGAGTCCAAAATATACAAACCAAACACAAGCTTTAACTCCAAAATAAAGCCATTAAATGTTTAAGTGCACATCATAATGATATCCTCATTTCCTTCAGCATTAAATATCTATGCTTTTGAAGAAAAGCCTTTCTCTAGCACCTAAACTCCACAGTATAGGAGTATCTTTTATCCACAATAAAATCCCACTAAACATATGATCCTTATAAGCCAATTTTTCTCATCATTGGATCATTGTAATTCTCATCTTTAAGAAGCTCCTTTTAGAGGGGATTGTCTCAACGAAAAAGACAGTCTTCTCCCTAATCACCCTACCGTCCTCCCCTTAAAATAACTTCTCCTTACAATAACTATCTCAATGAACATCAAAAAATTCAAATTCCTTCGTTTGTCTACTTTTTACCATTTGCCTAATGCTACTCTCTATAAAAAGCAAGTAAAAAAACAAAAAAGAAACTCCGTAACTCTTGGTTGTCAATTAAAAGGGTAAAAATTTAACGCAGATAAAAATGTATTCCTTGTTCACTATAAAAATCCTGCCTTCAATACAAAATTTGTACAAGTACAAAATGTCTGAATTATCTAAAGCCTCTAAATGTTCCAATATTCTACCCTCCCCTTCTACCCCCAACCCCCTCTGGTGTGTTTCAACAAGAATCACATCACCCTTTCTTGTTGTGGCCAACATGATTTTATCTCCAATGAACAGGTATGACCATGACCATTGCACCAATCCTTCATATCTAGAGAACTTATTCATCAAAATACAGAAGCTCCAAATGATTGTTAGGTGTCGTGACAAGGGTACATTAATGCTGTCAGCGATTAGTTAAGCCTTGGGCAAGAAGTTGTGCAGAGATATTGAGTGAAAGGTGGCAGAGTTAGTTATAGAGTGAAAACATGATATAAGCAAGTTGGGGAATAATAAGAGAGATGTAAGGGAAAGCAGAAAAATAGGAAACCAGAGGAAGGATTGTATCTATGGCGGCATGGCGCTATCAAATCACCAGTAAAAGCATACGAGAAGAAACAAAAAGAAGCCACAATTCTTTGAATGAAATTATTCTCTTGCATTCCATAGCAATCACAGAATGCAAGGATTGATTACAAATAAATTCTTTTTGAATGTTCCAAATGACCTAAGACAACATGTTAAAGCAATTAATTTGTAGCGTAAGGGATAACTTACCACTCCCAGGAAGTGCGCAATCAGCACATCCCAATTTTCATCATGAAGAGATGGAATCAAGTGCTCAATACACCCATTGTCAACCTAACAAATAGTATCAAAAGTTAGTAGCTTCATAATTACAAACTTGCATGACATGTTCACTAGAAAATGAATGTAAATTGAACAATGAACATAATATACCGTATCCAGATCTTTAACATTAAATGAAGGATACGGAAAAGATTTCTTAAAATGGTGAGGAAACAGCTGCAGCCATGTATCATCACCCATCATTACAACTCGCTTTCCATTTTCCACTAACTGCACAAGTCCAATATCAACTCTTGCTCAAAAAATGAACAAATATTTTTTATTACTCGTATATTTTAATGTGAAAGAGTAAAGAAAAGCTCAAAGGCCACCACTAGGCCCTCCATCACAGAAGGCCAAGCACAATTGGTTTATTGGTGTCAAGGGAAATATGTAACAAGACCAGCCTAACCTCACCATTAGACCAGAAATTGAACTTGGGTCTCAGAGGTGAAAGGGATAAAGTATTATAATCTCGACTGAGCTGATTTAGTTAAAGCTAGACGTATCACACACACACACAAAATCTAAAAAAATTTGCAAGGATGATAACTCATATGTCAATCCCCCTTTCACAGCTCAAGTGGGTTACATGAATATAATTATTATTGGTGGAAAACAGGATGATTAAATGAAAGATTCAAAATGCTCCCTATGTTTCTATTTCTATGCCCCATTTGATTTTGGAAAAAATTAAATGTTTGATTGTGTGGATTTGATGAGAGAACAAAGTGGTGGGACAGTACATAGTTGAGGAGAGTAAAGTGATGGTCTGATGGAACAATATGACTATAGATTGGATGAATTATACATCTAGGGACATTTTTTATAGTGGAAAATGGGCAATACAAATAGGTTCAGAGGGACTATAAACTAAAAATAAAAAAAGAAAAAAGAAAAGAAATGGGAAAATAAATATTGGAACCTGCTGAATAAAATTATCCTCAACAATTGCAGGAGCACCAAAGCTATTGCCCACATCTACGAATGTTGGCAGTCCACCAGTTGTCAAGCCCTAGATAACAGCAAAGAACAAAGATGATGGTGAGCTGAAATTCTTAGATTGAAAGAAATTGAATTCAACAATTTATATGTAGTAAACATAGAAGCCAAGACAGTGCATACTCCAAAAAAAAAAAAAAAAAAAAAAACTTCGTACATATGATAGCACAAGTATCCACTAGAAACTCATAAGCTTTATAGCCTTGACCAGGTCCAGCACCAGTAAAATCTGGCCAACAACAAGCCAAGTGCCAAGTACTCATGTTTAACCTATTCAAGCAGAAACACAAACACTATTGCAAAAAAACCATATGCACATAGCAATATGGCATTCTCCTTTCCATGTCAATCTGCCGTAACTCCATAAGGCAACAGCTGTGCTACATATGGAAACCCATAATCATATATGCACACAATAAAATGTGAGAGTAGAGAATAGGAGACTCAGTTTGTATTGGAGCAGAAGCAATAGATGCAGCCAGATTCCAGTAAACCTACACTAAAGAAGGCTGAATAAACTTAAAAGTCAACCATTATTCATTTTGGATTGAAGAAGTGCAAGCTGCAAATCTTGAAATCAAAATTGAACATAATGCTGCAGAGAAGCTCACGAAAGGAAGACATCTTTCTCCATAATTCCACATATATCATTCAACTTCTATCCATAAAGATTTAAACTTGGATTTTTGGTACAGAAAAACCTCATAAGATTTGGCAGAACAAAGGTAACTCTTTTGCTGAGTTTGCGTGACTGTCAATTTTTGTGACTCCAACATGATCCATATACAATGTTATCAGAATCGGGATTCTACTTTGGATCGGAAAGACCTATCAAGATCGGATCGTGGGATCGCACGATCCTACCAATTTTCAATTTTAAGACATAGTACATGTATAAAATTGTTGTGAGATCATATTTTTTGTAACAAAAAGACTAATATTGCAAATATTTGGTGATTTACTCATTAAAAAGGCGATACTTCATTAAAATCCTAATTATAGCTAATATTTCGACATTTTTCTCAATAAATTTGTACATAAGAATCTTGAGAACAAGGCAATAGTTATGAGTTCAACGACAAAATAATACACATAATGACATAAAATAGTTTTAATTACAAAACACTTAGATCTTAGTTTTAGTTAAAATATATTCATCAATCATCATATCCAAAACTCAAATTGCCATAATCAACATCATCACTTCTAACATCAGTTCCTCGTGTACTAATTGCACTAGTGTAAAAAAAACGAGCTATTTGTTGACAAACTTCTTCTCTTTCTTCCTTTTTATATTTCTGATTAAGTGTTGTTTGAACTCCAGGTTTGTTTCTACTCACAAAAGCATCCATTCCCCCCCTCCTGTTCAAATTAATACTTTGTTGATATTCATAAGTATCATCATCCTCGCCTATATCATTAAATTTTTTCTTTTTTCTACTAGACTGTTCAGCATTAGCTTGTAATAGGTCTCTAAATTTATGTTTCACATCATCCGGAACTTGCAAACATCTCTCAACATTACAACCAGTCCCAGCAAGGTGATGTTTAAGCCTATAAACACCACCAGCACGCACAACACCACAATATTTGCATCTTACTTTCTTTCACTATCTACCTCAGTACCATGTTAGTACCATGTTCCCAGCCTAGGTCAAAAATTTTCCTTTTCTTTTTAACACAGCTTGCAGTGGCTGACATAATTCGAAGGATCAATTTTAACAGAGGCGCATAAATAATACCAACCTACAAATATAAAGGGAAAATTCGATACAAAAAATAATTGAGCACTTCAACCTAAATTGAATAGCAGTAGAAAATCGAACAAAATCTAAAGTCTAAACAAAACTTCTTAATTGAATAGCAGTAGAAAATCCCTAAATTGAATAGTAGTACAAAAAAGAATTCGATACAAAATCCCTAAATTGAATAGCAATAGAAAATCGAACAAAGAACATGCAAATTTACCAAAAACAATCCCTAAAATACCAAGCAAAAAAAAGAAAAATTGAAAAATTCATAATTTAGGATTTACTTTAGGAACATACGACATACCAGATTTGCAGCTAGATTATTTGCAAGCTTGTAGCAAAAAGATAAGTTTATGCTTGTGCTTAAATATGATAATGGTGAAAATGGGGATTTGGAGTTGGAGGTTGAATGTCTGTGAAAATGGTGAAAATGGGGTTGAATGTCGTGAAACTATTGAAAGTGGATGGGAAAAGGGTTTTTACATTATTTTTTGTCCAACTTGGGGCTAGAATATTAATAGGCCAGCCCGTAGTTTGTTTGGCTGACTAAACACTCAACTTTAAGCTTTTGGGTAGGATCGTTGGAATCGACATAGAATCGCGATCCCACCGATCCTATACGATTCTAACGATCCTATGCCCGATTCTTTGCAAATCCGATCTTAAGCACGATCCAAGTCGTTGATTTTAACAACATTGTCCATATATAGATATTACATTTTTTTCCCTTTAAATCCTGTTGAATTTTCTATATCTGATAAAACTCACCTTGTCCCATTCTTGTATAATCAAAAGAAAGGATTCCCCCAATTCTAATCCTTGCCTCAACAGGATTAGTACTTGGTTCTTACAATTTTGATGTTAGATATAGTTGGAAGTACAGGGTTACTTTTCAGACCAAGCTAGTTACTTACACCTGACATATATGATTTATAGGTGCCACGGGAGCAGGAATGAAACTGACAATGACCTCTATCCTCATTGCTAGGCAAGCTCGTGTTACAGTTTCACATTCCATTAAGTACAATTACATTGTTATGCAAATCAGAGACTCACATAATAAAATGTTTAGGTTGAAAAGCTGAGGTCCAAAAGTCCACAAGAATCTTTGAAATGAGGAGAGATAGTACCCAGGCAACCAAATTTAAATGTGCAAAACTGATCCCTTGAAAAAGTGCACATCACAAAACAATGATGAAGACAGAAATACCCAGGCAACCAAATTTATATGTGCAAAAGTAATCCCTTGAAAAAGTATGCATCACAAAACAATGATGAAAATAGAAAGAGCACCCTATTTCAGATAAAATCAGAAGAATCAAATTATTATTTGATTAATAATCCCGGATCTCTTATCTCTTTCAAACCAACACACTTCCACCCGTAAAATGCTCCAAAGTATGATCAAGCAGATCTACTCTATTATTTACTGTGAGGTAAGTAAACCTCTCAAAGAGGATTCCACGTCAAATAAAAGTTCCTAGAAACGGAGAATTCATGCTCAAAAGCTATCAAGATTGAGCAAAGATAAAGATAAGATGCAATAATCTTCACCTTCAAACGCTGTAAACTAGTTGTAGGAGGGTCAGCAATGGCTTTGAAAATCCTAGCTGTGGACCCCGCCTCTGCTGCTAGCTTCTGTATTACTTGTAACTTGTCCATCCATGGTTTCTTCTCTACAGCAACATATAGTTATCACTTAATAAAGTGCTCAAATTGTCCATATAAGATATCAAAGCATGAAAGAGATGAGCTACAAGACCAGATTCAATTTTACACATTCTTTAAATTGCTAAATTTTACAGGGTTGAAAAATAACACGACCAGAAATTACCAGATCCCACAGCAGCGCCACTATATATTATATACTTAAATCATCATACAACTGAAAATAATTGTCACATTGACCACCATATCTTACATTAACAGAAAACTGGAGCTAGGAGTCTCTTTCAGCGTAGATTTCATCTTCTTCACAAATTCCATTTGGTGCTTTACAATTTTAACACAGCTAAACTTCACAAATGATCCAAGTGTCGTGACATTTCAAACATCCAAAACCTACAGTAACTATAAGCTAGTGAAGGGTCATGAAATGTTATTAAAACTATACAAACATACATGAGATGATTTGTACGCTTCTCGTCTTGGCAAATTTTTCTCTACAGCTGAGAAAAGAGGTGTGTGTTGGGAGATTCGGGCTTTTGAAAATTTTGCCTATGATTAATCAATATTTAAGGAAATATGACACCCGAATACTCCAAATTGGTAAACTCGAATTCTATTTCGGGACCAAAGACGTATTTGACTTCGCTCCATGAGCTTTTCAAATAACTTGAAACACATTAAACAACTACAAATCACAGAATGTCCAATGTTTCAGATTCGAGCACACATTATCAATCGAAGAAACAACCAAAAGTTGTGTGATTTTTTATTTTATTTTTAATTAAGATTTATACAAGTCCAAATTCAATGAAATAAAAAGTTATCCTGGATAAACAAATGCCAAAACATAGTATGATAGTAGCAAACTTCCAAAGAAATGCAAAAAAAAGAAAAAAAAAAAAGAAAAAAAAAGAAAAAGAAAAATCAGCTTCATAATTTGGGGCAGAATTACAATACAAATCTACTAACCTGGAAAAAAGCTACTTGGCGCGACAAAATCAAACCTGCAACAAAATCAAAACCCTAAAAAATCGACAAAATTTACAGCTCAAATTCAATGCTAATGAAACTGATTCACCATAATTACCTCAAAGCGTCGAAAACGATAATGACGAGACGATCAACAACCGGTTTAGTCCAACAAGTTTGATTACTCCCTTGAGACGAAGACGAAGACGAAGATGAAGATGAAGATGAAGATGAAGGGATTGATGAAGAATCGAAGCAAGGAGAGAGAGAAACATCGGAGCAATTGCTGTAGTAAGGGAGTTCAGTGCGAGTGAGAAGAAACCCTCGAGTGAAGAGAAAAATGGCGAGGCAATGGATGAAGAAGATGAAGAAGAATGGCCATATTAGTTGTAATTTTGTTGCTTTTGATCGAGTTTTCGGCACCATTTTTGTGGATATTCAGACAACAATGGAGTTCATCAGATTTCTGGGAAAATTTTCAAACGAAGACTTGAATGTGAGACTCTGCTGGGTTAAGAGTCCTTAGAAGTTAAGACTGCAGTGTTACTGCTCGTTTGGTACGAAACGAAGGAAATAGGAATAGGAAAAGAATTTGAGGCGTTTGATTACTCGTAGTCTCGTAGAGCTAGCAGTATTTAACTCGACACCACACAACAATAAACCTAACATGACTCGACACAAAAGTACTCATATCAACATAAAAAAAAATAAGAAAAAAAAAATAAAAAAATGAGCCTAGTCTTCTTTGGATAAATTGGTCAAATTACGCAATTATCCACATGTTACTATTATTGTTTCGGACTTTCGGGGTTTTTTGTAGTTCAGTTGGAAAGTAAGCTGGAAAGCTGCAGTCAACCGGCACAAGCACTTGCAAAACAACTCTAGTAGCTAGTTATAAATAGCGGTAATTCTATAAATTGGCCATGATGCAAGTTCATCCCAAATCTACCTTTATTATTTCGAAGGTTTTTTGAAGTTCACTTAGAAAGGCTGCACTCAACCGGCACGAGCACCTGCAAAACAACGTATATTCCGCCAATCAAGTTAATAATTGGAAACAAATTTTTTAGAGAGAGAGAAAGTAGAGATAAGGGAGAGCTAAAGTTTGGTATTGAAAATTAAATGAACATGTCCCATTAATTAATGATTGGGGTTTTTATATAGTTCTAGGATAGCGTACTCTTATGATTTTGTGTCCTAAAACAACGACTTATGTATGATTGGTTACTCAGTATGTGTATGAAACGTGTAATAGGATAGCACCAGTTTTACATCATCTCTAAGAATTTAGGCTTAAACGTACAAATATGTGAACAATATGAACATGTCATCTTCTATTAACTAAAAAAAGAGGAAATATATGTATACATATTGATACCCCTTAAACATACACATAAATGAACATGTGTCATCTTCTCCTTTTTTATTTTATTTTAGGAAAAAGATAAGCAGCTAAATGAACATGTGTCATAATAAGGGCTTCATATAAGAAGCTAAAAGTGGAAAGAATAGACAATTAATAAACATTTATTACACCGATTTACTCGTAATTTGTCAATAAATTCTCAACTTAATACTAAAAAATGAAGTATATTAAATAGCATTACCCTTTATTTTATTTTTAATGATACTTAGTTATTTACCATGTTATCCTTGCCTTGAATGCCTTCTCCCCTCTATATAGGGGCAATGGAACTTGTGGTTGTTTAAATGACAAGGGATATTAATGGGATGGAACGAACGTAGATATTTGTCTCTTCATCTTGATCACCTGCTATAATTTAGTCATTTTTTCCCCACTTCCCCATGTCCCAATATAATTTCTATTAGTCTCATTGTCATTAACGCATCACCTTCCTTTGAGATATACCTTATATGTGAGTCAAATAATCCATGGCACATGTCAATTACAATTTTTATCCCTACTATTGCTCCATCAAACCTCTACTCAATTCCATTTGAATGGAATAAATTTCAATATACATCCGCCTCATTGACATCTTTATTCATGATAGTGTGTCAAATAGTATTTCATACTTCTTCCGGTCCATAAACTCCATCTCATTTGACTTTTTATGGGTCTACAAACATGTATTAAGGTGTATTTGCATTTATATACTTGTATTATAAAAATATGCATTGAAATGAATTTGATAGGATCATATATATATATATGGTAAGAAAAAGATGAACATTAGGAAACCCTCCGTACGAGGGGAATTCCTAATGCGTCTAAAAAGAGGATAGGAATTAAAGAAGAGTTGTTACAAAAACTAATGTCCATACTATCATAATTAAATGACCCACATTAGCAACCCAGTCCGCCGCTTTATTTGCCTCTCAATAAACATGCCGAATGCTGCAGTTGTCAAATTTGCTAAGAAGACAACGTATGCCTGTAATGATATACTCGATCTGCCATGTAATTGACCAACTACCTATAACTGAGTTGATGGCTAGCAAATTATCACCTTCGATGTGAATATTCTTGATCCCTTTCTCGAGAGCTAGAAGAATGCCTTTGAGAAGTGAAGTAGCTTCTGCTATGAAAACCTTGGTGTTACCGAGATTGAAAGTGCGCGCTCTAATAATTGTCCCAGTGTTGTCTCTGATGATGTTTCCCACTGTAGAGTTGTTGAAAAGTGAATCGTTAAAGTTGAGTTATATGATTTATATGGAGTATCTTTTATATGTTAATGAAGATTTTGGTAAAATTTGTAAAATACATATGTATACTTTATACTCCCTCCGTGCCTTATACCGTTATACATAAGATAAAAAAAAAATAAAAAACACTCATGTACTCATGTATATGCATGATTAGAATTTTCTTAGTGTAATGTATAGTTCCCAAATATTATTGTTATTATTAATTTACACTTACTATTATTGTTGATTAAAGATATAATTAGTCAAAGACAAATGTGTCATCAAAATGGACCACTTCAAAAATTACAGAGGACAATCTTTTGGAGAGCCACCATATAAGCACCAAGCCTAACCAGCTGAAAGGGCACTGAAAAAAATCCATATAAAATTATAAATACTCCATTCTCCAGACTTTATAGGATGGATAATGTTTCATAAAGTAAACTACAGTATTTCATTTCTCATTTCTTGTTGCCGCCGTCCATAATCGCCAATATCCGATCATTTAGTATGTAATTCTTTTTTTCTCAAATTCTTGATTTTTTTTTCCTGGGAAATTTCTGTTCTTGTTAGTAATCATCATCAACCTACCGAATTTTCTTTTTGTCCCCCTTTTTATTTCTGTAAATTTATAATCTTTGGTTGATTTTGGTGTTAATTAGTTTATTGTCATGAAAGAACATATTTTTTTAATATGAGTTATTTGGGTGATTATGTGTTTACTGTTTAGGTTCTTCTAATTGTAAAATTGCCTTAATTCGACCAGAAATTAAGATTATCGAATCAAATGCATGGTAATAAGAATCAAGCTCCAAATCGATAGGTTTCATTCCTATTCCAACCCAGTTTGCGAACCGAACGCTTCTGATTGTATAATAATGTGGGGTTTTGGTGTTAAATTTGTTTGTTATGTTATTGATTTTATTAAGAAATCTGTATTGTACTACGGAATAGTAGTTTATTATAATTCTGTTTTCACGCAATGCTAGTTAGTATTGTAGTGTACTTATAATTCGTTTTTTTGTCCGTTCAATGTCATTTGTAATGAATTTTTTTAGTATTGCCCCTAATCCCATACCTTATGGTGCGGTTATGGTACCGTGAATATCATGTATTATTTATGTGGAACGCGCATAATTGAGCTCCTAATCGTTGGTGAAGGATGGGGTGAAATAGATGGTACTGGAACACTGAACACAATCTACCAAGGGGTTAGTAAAGTGTTATAACTGATAAGTGTTTCAGATCTTTGAAATTTCTTGAATGAATGTCTGCTTCTTACTGCTATAATTTTGTTTTCGTTTATTGTGTTGGTACAATGGTGTTAGAAATTATAGGTGTTGCATGGTCATTGCCGTTCTTGTAATCATAATTGTGCAACTTGGGACCAGTATTTTTTAACAATTACGGGAGCCATTGGAAGTTCTTTAATTCTTTTGAAAGTTGCTTCTGGATCTGAAACATTGCGAAGAATTTCTTGACTAGTTGTCCACTTACAAAATTCTGTGTTTTTTACCAACTTGCCTTCAATGCTATTGTGCTATCTAAGTGATAGCTCAATCAATTCTTTGATGGTTCATTGTTTCTTGTGATGCCTCAAATTTGTGTGTGTGTGTGTGTGTTTGCTATTTTTCTCCTCACCAATACTTAGGGTTTTTTTTTTGTAGTTTGACTCATGGAACTAGAACCATCCTGGAAGGATCATGATTGTAGATACTTGTCGGTCAGTAAAGAAGACAATACAAGCGAACCTGACGTGGTTGACCCTTTGTTAGAAATAACTCCTGTCAATGATGAAGAAAAGGATGTTGTCTGTATTAACTCCATTCTCCCAGATGATATTTTAGAGCGAGTTTTTGGACATCTTCCAGTTTCAACAGTTATTAAAGCAGGTTGTGTATGTAAGAAATGGAATGATATGTTGCAGTCTGAAAGATTTATACAGAATCTGCCTAGCACTTCACCTCAAAAACCTTGGTACTTCATGTTTACCAACGACTCTGATCCGCAAGGGCATGTATATGATCCTATGCTTTTGAAGTGGTACAGATTTGAGATCCCGTATGTTGAGATGCCTAGTTGGAATCTTTTTTCATCTTCAGGTTTAGTATGCTTTATGGATAATGACTCTAGGAGAAAACTATATGTTTGTAATCCAGTTACAAGATGTTGTAGAAAGCTTGCAGGGCCTTATGGTACAGAATTATCTGATTACTGTGCCCTTGCAGTCTCATTGGATGAATCATCACGAAAGTATACACTGGCTATAGTGAGATCTAAACAAGCTCCTGGAGAACAGGCAGATTGGGGTCTCTCAATTGATGTTTATAGTTCCAAAAATAAGTTATGGACATGTCCTGTGGAGGTTAATTTACAAGCTTGGAGAAGTGGAGCTGACAGTGTGATATGTGGTGGGATTCTGTATTTTGTGGTATATCTAACAAGGACACTGGGCTTTATAAGCCCCCACTATGGTGTGCTGGCTTATGATCTTGCTTCTGAGTCCTTTGACATTGATGTGGTTGAACGCGTGATTCTGGCACCTTGTCCTGTCACATGCATGCGGTTGATGAACATTAAAGAAGAGCTTGTTATGGTGGGAGGGATTGAGAAACAAGGGCGATCTGGCGTGATCAAAGGCATTGGTATCTGGGTTCTTAAAGGGAAGGCGTGGGAAGAGGTTTCCCGTATGCCAAACAAATTCTTCAGAGGATTTGGGGAGTTTGACGATGTCTTTGCCAGTAGTGGTTTTGACAATCTTATATACATTCAGGGCTATGGAACTCCTGCTCTTCTTATGTTTGAAATGAATACAAAAGAATGGAGGTGGTCACACAGATGCCCTGCCACCAAGAAGTTTCCTCTCCAGCTGTTTTCTGGAATTTGTTTTGAACCCCGGTTTGATATTTCTCCGTGATTTGGGCATTCTACGATCATCATTTCTTCTCGACTCTGCTAGATTTCTACAGTACTCATTTCCATCAATACGCGAAATATTAGCATCCAATAATGAGCAGGTGGTACCCTCCTCCATTCATAACTCGTGGTAAGTGCAGGCTGTTCCTTCATGATGGTACATCCCGTGTAGTTGAGAGTCGATGCTGCATTATGTTGCTGATGCTTCTTGTTTCCTATTGACTAGTTCTATGACAGATGGTATGCCGTGGTAAATTGTTCTCTGGGCTTTGAACCATTGTCTTCTCGTATAGAGACAAAAAAATTGCTTTCTGGAACCAAAATTTGAAATGGATTGTGGTTTAAATGTAATTGCTACATGGAATCTCTGAAACAATTTTGAGCTCATTTTTCTCATTGCATTCCTCTGCTTTAGGGTAGCTCATTAAAATTGGAGTTAGAGGAAAGGGTGATAGGGTCGAAAAAGTATATTATTTATGTATCTTCAACTCTTGATTTTATATTGGCATTTAATAATTTAAGGGTATTATAAGTAATTTCCTTGCCTAGATACGAGTTACTACAATTTTATTTATTTGTTTGTAGGAAGGAAGATTTCGGCGTCAAAGTGTATTATAAGTAAAACCCACAAGCCCAATCGACTCACATGTGTCTCAAACCATCAAGGACTTGAATTGAGAAACATGAGCTTTGAAGTATAACAATCTGCCACTTAACAGGTCAGAGGGAAGAGAGTAGCTCAAAACTTTTCATAGCTCTCACTAGTGAAGTGAAAGCAGCCTTGAGAGATTTTTGTGGAATACCAAGTGGAGGCTGATTTTTTGGTTAAATGGTGTTTCATTAAAGCTCAATTTCGGTGGGTCAGTTTGCAACAATTAATTTAGCAGCGACAGCCGACAGGATTCATCATCAGGGACAACCTTCAATCTTGGATTCTTGGTATTACCAAATTAATCTTCATTCACATAGCTTTACAACATGGTATCCTCAATATTCAAATTGAGGGCAACAATCTGTTAGTTATCAGCTTTGTCCAAGGCGTTAGGTCCATTCCATGGGAGATCAAGCACATCATTAGCAAATGTGGTTCATCTAGTCAGTGAAAACATGGATATTATTTAATTTCTGTTCTTTCTTCAAATACATTGGAAATTTCCTTCGTGAGGAGGGCTTCTTAATGGTTTTTCCTTTTTCTTACCTTAAATAAATAATAATAATAAAAACAGCAACGGGTATAATAGCATGATTGAGTAAGGAGTATTATTTATTACAATCAATCTCTTAAGAATGTATCTACATAACCCAATGATTAAAGGAAGACACTGATTATGATACTGCTTTTTTTCTTAAACAAAAATGAGTATTACATTTGTTTAAGGGTAGGATGAGGTGGGGTGGGGCGCGGGGAATAAAGGATTGGACTAATTTTGCTCCACTACCGCCCACTTTTATTTGCAATTTTCACACCAACACCCACCATACCACCCTCACCCTTGGGGTAGTATGTGGTGGTAGGTCTACTTTCTTTTACGAGGGGGTCTACAATCTCGCTAACTATCTATACCTAGCTTCTCTTCTCTATAAATTATCTCTTTCACTCCTTTAACGACCAAAGCTCACTGATGGCAAGATTGGCAACGTACTATTCTTACTTTATTGGCCTTATTAGGTTGACAATATAAATGGGAGAAACAAAACTTATGGGAATTAAGTTGGATACTTATTTGATTGACACACAAAAACAAAAATGAAGGAGGTGAGAATTCATGAAAGTTTTAGCTTTTCACTAAACATAAAAGTAAATTACCAACACCCTCAATCAAAATTTATGAGAAATTTTATTACAGAGCCTCAACGAAACAAATTAAGAAATTTATAAGAATTTCATAAGGGAAATAACTTTTCATGTAATACATATTTTTGTAACACTCCGTAATTTATTTCGTGTGTCAATAAACAAGCAAGCACCATGTATTATGGATAGACGTTGTGAATTTGTGAACTAGCATAGAGTTTGGTGTCCTATTTTCCATAAATTAATCATTCAAATAATAATAAAAAAAAAAATACAATTGGAAAATATTTCTCAAAATAGTAATTTTTTTTTTACTGAAATTGTGAACTATCCCATCAATAAGGGATTAGATTTGCACCAATTTGACACGCAACAGAACTAAGCATCGAACACACATGTACATGTTATTTATACGGAGTAGGAAAAATATTTCAGTAAATAATGGGTTTTTGTGCAAGCATTAAATTGGCTTTCTGTCGGCCTTGTTTGGATGTTTCAGCAAGAATCAAAAGGACTAGTCCCATCCGATTTGGAAGATGACATTAAACGATCACTTCTCTAGATTCACTTTGCTCATTTCGAGATTCCCATTTTTAGTAATAATTTGTGTCAAGTTTTATGCCTTTGAGGATGCATGTTAGGCTAATGCTTCATGTTAACGTTATTTTAATTGTGCTTTTGCCAACTTCGACGCCTTCGATTTAGTAACGAAACATGCATTTGATATTGGTGCATGTATTTGATGGTACTCCTAGAATGATTACGTGAATAAAATGCACTCTCGTTCTCTTATATGAACAAATAATCTATTGCATACTTATACGTATTGCTTAATTACATCAAAAAGTTATTTATAAATTTTCTTATAGTAATCCCTTCTTAAATTCATTATGTGACCAAATAAAACTAATTTATTTTTTTGAAAAATGAGCACATAAACCCCCATTTAATTTTTCATAGACTTTTCATTATTTTTCATGAAACCATCTATACCATATTAAATTGACCTAAATGAGTATGAACACTACAATAGTACAATATCAAGGATATCTCTAGTAGGAATGACAACGGATCGGATTTGGGTCGAATAGAGCTCCACCCGCATCCACCCGATCCACCCGCCACCCGCAAAACCCATCACCCGCGTCCGATCCATCCGTCATCCGCGGGTGAAACGAGTGGATCGGATGCTTAGCGGGTGATATTATAATTTTATTTTTTGTAAATACATAAAAGTTATTGGTGGTTAATATTACGAGTGATGACTATATTTTTAACAAATACATCGAAGTATCGATGTTATCCTTGTAAAAAAAAAAAAAAATAATATCATATTTAATAATTTTTAGAAAAATATTTAAGTACAAATAGAGTATATAAGGTCAATTTTTTTTTTTGAAAAAACTAATTTATATCGGATGGATGACGGATCGGGTGATAAACGGATGACAAATGGAACGAAGCCCCACCCGAATCCAACCCGATCCGTCACCCATTTCATCCGTCACCAGCCCTTCATCCGTTAAATGCAGATTTTCGTCAATTTATTTATATCGGGTGGATCGAATTTACAGATATCTATTTATAATTGTCATCCCAAATCTCTAGATTCTCTCCTAACTAAAGGTTCAAAATTTCCTCTTCACCTCCTTTTAAAGGTTTTATTACGAAGTATTTCATTTAGTTAAAACCATTAACCTAATCTTCTCGTATCACGTAAACCCATACAATACCCAATTAAGAAACACTACTCTTATAATGTGAATAAATTTATCACAACCAATTATGCTTGGTGGAGGTCAAAGTCACGAATTCGAGTGTCATCACTAACATTCACTTGGGAGTTTTAAGCGTTAACGTGTGTAGAAGGGTTGGACGACTAGTCAGGGAAAAAAAAAAAAACAGCATAGGTCATAGCCTCCGTAGGGGACCAATTTCATTACCACATTTGTAATAATTACAATCATAATCCGTACTTTTTGTTTCTCTTCACAACTCTCTTTCTTTCTCCTGGAGAAATTATTGTAGACTTCCAACTTCCTTGAAGATTGACACCAAATTTTTGCCAGGTAGCAAAAACCATGTAAAATAAACATAAAAAGAAATAAAAAAAAAAAAAACAGAATGAAAGTAGAAAAAAAAAACAGAGGAAAAAAGAAAACCAAAAACAGAGTATATCTGAGTTTTCTGACAGAAGTGAAAGCTAAACTCATCAGACACCCAAAATCCACAAAAAATCAAGGAAAAAATGGGTAAAATCCAGAAAATCAGTCAGAAAGGAGTGAAATTGAGGTGAAAGATGAAATCTTTAGAGAGAGAAAGAGGGAAATTTAGAGAGAGAAATGAAAATAAGGGAAGAAGAAGAAAGTGGGGAAAAAGGTACAATTTCAGCGGAAAAAAAGGATGAATTTTTTAGTAGAAGAAGAAAGTCTTTGCCTTTATTGGCTGCCTGTAAAAGGGGTTTTTGTGGGCCCAGAAATTCCACTGTTACTACCCCAGTCATCTTATGGAAGGAGGTTGTTGTTGTTGGAGCTCAAAACACCATAATTAAAGGCAACAACAAAAACAACACTTTTCCTCTTTTTTCTTCATTTTCTTTCTCTTGTTATTCTTCTGCTGCTGCTCAATTTTCTGCTAGGAAACTTGGTTCCGTTTTTTGGGAGTTTCAACATTATTTTAATTCTGAAGAAATGTATTTGGGTGTCAATAATCATAATCAAAGGGGTCGTAGAATTCATCATAGATTGAATAAGGATGAGGGTTTTGATCATAATCTTCATCAGATTAATGGACATCCCTCTTTACCAGTTGATCCTCATAGAGGCGGTTCTTCTGATTATCAGGTTACTTCATTTACTCTTTTTATTTTCTAGTTTTGAATTTGTTGTTTTAGTTTGGGTTTTTGATTGTAAAACCAATTGTGAGGCTAATTTTTTTGTCATATCTGTGGTTTCTTTATCTATTTGAAGTTAGTGAGACATGGAGGGTAATGGTAATGATGTAGACGGGATTTGATCCGAGACTTTATTTGCTTTTTCATTGATTTAGAATTGGGTTTTCTGTTTTAAGGCCTAATTCATGAAATTTAATTGATTTTGTGTGGGTTTATTTCAGGAAGCTTTCACTTGTCTTGACTGATGGTACATTCTGTTAGTGACATTTGTAAATTTTATATTCAGACCCTATTTGATGAATTTGTTGGGTATAATTGATTCTAGCTTTTAAGTCCTCAATAGTTGGTTGAGTTTGGTGTCTTCTGGTTTCTAAAGATGGGCATATTTACATTTTTGTGTCTTGCCTTTTGTTGTGGGATGTTACATTGTTACATGATTGTTTAATTACCCAATTCAGATTTTCATGTCTATCATTAGTTTGCTGTTACCCTGTCTGTTTAATATCCGGAATTTAGCTCGTGTGCTTCACTTTGCTATGACTTGTGGGTTTTTGTTTGTTGTTACTTGTTGCCATTGTATGAACTACTAGCACCTAATTCGACGAAAAAGCCAACCCTTAATCACGATTTCATGTCAAATCAGCTGAAAAACAATGCTGAGTTTTTGTTGGATAGACGGCAACTTGACAGGGTATATGGAGACTGTTAGACAGTAAGAACTTCTCTGATAGGAATCAGACTCTAGAGTCTAGATGACCTTCTATGCCGCTGATTGATCGATTGTTCCCCGGAGTAGTCTTTAATCTCTTTATGAATTGTCTGATATGAGTCAGGGACTTAAGACTATCATTGCAATTATTGCTGACTGAGCTTTGTTTGTTAAGTTGAGTTTTTCTTTAAATGATTTTTTTGACTCTATTGATGTCTATTGATTTTTGAGCAGTGCTTGCAAATGTAATTTTGGAAACACTTAATGCTTTATTTACTTGGATAAAAAAAGTAGTTTGACTAAGAATTCGAGGAAAGTTGCTTTGAGTATTTCAGTCATGCCTCGTGGGAAGTTGGAGTTTTGTTTAGTCGAAAGGCATATAGCTAAATTGGAATCCTAGGATAATTGTTAAACAAAGTTTCAAGTTCTAATGAATTACGGAGTAAACAAAAAATAAATATAGTCATAGCTCCTCAGCACACCTAACTTAGCTTGAAACTTGTGAGAAGATTTTAGCTTTCAAAACTGGAATAAGGAGTTGCTCATCATCTTTAATTTTTGCTTATTGAATCTGATGTGCGGCAGCCTTCAAGTGCTGGTAGCTTGAGGAGACATATTGCAGCCTCACTGATGCGGCATCATCAATCATCAGAAAGGAATAAACACGCGCTGCAGCCTCTTTCTCCCGCAAGCTATGGTAGTTCCTTGGAGGTACTTATCTTTAAATCTTTGATTATTTGTTTGTACCAAATTTTTGAGAAATAAAGAGAGTTATCTTTTCCTCTTAATCAAATCAAAGGTACTGTTTTGCTTAGTATGTGCAGTTTGTAATGTATGGCCACTAGTGAAAAACAACCAAAAGTTATCATTTGAGTTTGGCAACACGTTTTGATTTCCTGTATTAGGGCTTTTCTTTGATTCAGAAAGCTTGTCCTATGTTCAGATTCATCTATGGAATTCGTGGGCTCATATACAATGTTTAAATAGCGTGTACTTTTGGTGTATGATCAGAATAGAGCTCTGAAGGCATCTCGTAATGCCTGCTTAATGGCAGTTGAGTTTACAACTCTTTTGCGCTTATCTATGACTTTCTATCGCCAATTCTGGCTACTTGGACTAAGGACTATTATTACAGATAAATATCATGGGTAGCACCCATACCTTTCTCAACTCATGTTTCTAGGTCTAATTGAATTTTCTGAGCATCATTTAACAAGTTGAGTGCTTGCTTATTTTGACTGGACCATATTATATATATTTTTTGCATTATTTGGCCCTTCATGACGTGTCTACTGTCTAGTGCTCAAATCCCACGTCAAAGTGTTGAATATCCAACAAGTGTAGTGAAGCCGTGAAATAAATAGGAATAGTTTAGTGTTTGAGGGTTAAATTAGTGTTATACTTCCCTCACCTCCCCTATGAACCGTGGCGAAGGTGCATATTCAAAGGTAAGGTGCACCTCAGTTGGGTGTATCTCTGAAACATAATGATTAATGAAGTTGAAATTGTATCTCCAGATCTTTTCAAAGTGCCAGAATGTGCAATGTTGCTAGTAAAACTGGGTTGATTTATGCTCTGGCTGACATAGCCATTTTAGGGGGATAGATTTTCCCTTCTGTCTGAGGACTATTTGTTTTTTTCTTTAAATTATTTCTGTTTTTAATAATATGCTTTGTCCTTATTGCTGTATGACATGTGGCTGTGTGTGTACATTCAGATGGCTCCTTATAACCCAGCAGCAACTCCTGACAGTTCAATTGAGTTAAGGGGAAGGATGGGTGAGCCTAATTATGGCTTTAAAACATCAACCGAGTTGCTTAAAGTGTTGAACCGTATATGGACACTTGAAGAGCAGCATGCTTCCAATGTGTCTCTGGTGAAAGCATTGAAACACGAGCTTGATCATGCCCGTGGTAGGATCAAAGAGTTGCTCAGAGATCAACAAGCAAATCGTCATGAGATTGATGAACTATTGAAACAAATCTCACAAGATAACATATCTAGGAAGAGCAAAGAACAAGAGCGGGTAGAGGCTGCTCTCCAATCTGTGAGAGATGAATTGGAAGATGAAAGGAAGTTGAGAAAACGATCTGAAAGCTTGCATAGGAAGCTAGCTAGGGAGCTGTTTGAGATCAAGGTGGCCTTATCAACCACTCTCAAAGAGCTTGAAAAAGAAAGAACATCAGGTGAGCTCCTAGAAGAACTTTGTGATGAGTTTGCCAAAACTATTAGGGAATATGCAAAACAAGTGCACGATGTCAAACAGAAGTCTGACAGGGACTGGACTGGCCACACTAGTCATGACAATTTGATCCTACACATTTCCGAATCTTGGCTTGATGAGCGAGCTCAGAGGAGAGACAGGGAAGCACAGAGAGCATCTGCTGTTGTTGACAAATTGAGACCTGAAATAGAGACATTTCTCACAGCTCGACAAACAGCTAACATAGACACTAAAGAAACTGATCACAAAGAGAGCCGTTTAAGGCATCGTTCCCTCGAATCAATTCCTGAGGTTGGGAATGCCCCTGAAGATTCAGCTGCCTATTCTGACTCTCGCTGTGCTGAGAAAAGCAAAGTGGGCCCCAGCCACTACGAGGAGCAGGAAGAACTTGCATTGAATGGGAGGAGGAAGGGTCAAAGTCCTCCTAGTGTGCAGATGTCGGAACCTCAAAACACTCGGGAAATTGACTCTAGAATGAAAACAGGTGAAGGAACCCCGACAGAAATCAGCATGCTCCAGAAGTCTGAGATTTATGATTCCTACCAAAAGAAGAAGAATTACGATGAAGAAGGGCATGGATCGAACTCAAAAACAGTTGACAAACTAATTAGTGAGTTGCTGTTATCAGAAGGTGGGAGTTTCCCTCCTGAATATGAATACAAGGAAGCTGCTTCGAGTAATCCTTCTACATTGAAAAGGCATGCAAGCCCTGTGAGACAGTGGATGACAAACATGAGATCCCCGGATCCCAAAATTTCTGAGTCATCTTCAAGATTGCAGTCAGTGAGAGAGAATTCATTAAAAGCCAAGTTACAAGAACCCAAGTCTAAAGGGCAGCGTTCACGTTTGAAAATCCTAAAAGGTTAGTCATGAGTCATGACTCATATGAGACTATTGAAGAGTTTAAATGTATAGCTTACTGGATATTTTTTGGTTTTCTAACATGCTTTTAGAGATAGATTTATCAATTATCTTTGTGAAATGTCCTAGTATGTTTTGTAATGTTACTTTTACAAATTTGTACATATCGAAAAATCACGATGTTCTAGATTTCCAATGGTATTAAGTCAGGGATGTTGCACATTTTCAGTATATCAGGTTCTCTTTTGGGAAGAAAGGAAGAAGTAGCTTTTACTTCATGGTCATCGGATTGTTATTTATGCCTTCGGGATAACTAATGTGTACACATCAATTGTAGTTTCCTTTTTTGGTCAGTTGGATTGAATCAAGTTTTGTTGACATTCATTTCTTTCTGGTTCTTGTAATCTCCTTTGTTGTTAGCTTTAGTGAAGTTCTGTAGTGTTTGAGTCTTTCTGTAAGTACTATTTTTGGTGAGTGAAATTATATTATGCAGTTTTCCTTTTTTAGCCCCATAACATTTGATTGTAATAAGGGTTTGGGTATATTAAAATGATCAAGTTGAGAGATAAAATTTTGGAAATTTGTGGCTAAAAATCTACTTTGCTAGTTTGTTCTGATTATGTAAATGTCACAATTTTGTTATATCCAACCATGTACAATGTATGACAAATTCCTTTGAAAAAAAAAAACCATGTATTAGTACATAATTTCAAGGTAGCATTTAATTTAGGTAATTTATAACAAATCGGCTAAGCGATAGCATCTCTATAGAATTATTACCTCCCTGTCTTTTTGTTCTCTACGCTTTTTCCATAATATATACTTCATATATTCCTTTTTATTTTTTTTACACTTCTACATCATAAAATTTATGGTAATTGTTATTACACTTTAATCCTTCTTGTCGACACCAAAGAGCTTAAGAGCATACTTTTGCATACACGCTACTTGCAACCTAAACTTCTTACTTTCTTTTCTTCCATTCTTAAATCATGTGCAAATAGTAAGTGTTAAGAACATTATGAAACAAAAGTAGCATAAAAACTAATACTCTGCACCTTAGTTTTTAAGCTGAAAAGATAATACAAGTACTACCATGATCTCTTCACTTGATTTCTACTAAGCAACTTTTTTTTTTTTTTTTTTTTATAACTATAGCAACCAATTTTCACTAATTTATTTATTTTGATGAATTTTTTTTTATTTTTAATGTATTGAAATTGATTATTTTTTAGCACTATATTTTGTATAAAGTTACTGAACTTATTTACTAAACAAATTGTTTCAACTTATTTTTATTTTTTTACTTAAAATTACGTAGTACTCCATAATTTTTTTTTTTTTTTTTGACAGGTAGTACTCCATAAATCTTATTTCCCCTCAAAAAAAAAAAAAAACCTTATTTAAGCCCAAGAAAACAACAAAAGGCCTGGATTGGAGAGTTGGAATAATGGGAGGTGGCGCAACGTTGAAATGGGTGTTGCAATTACACAAAGACGTTCCAAAGGCTGCTCGTTTTTATTCCGAAGGCTTAGACTTCACTCTCCATCTCTGCACTCTTCGTTGGGCCCACCTTCAATCTGGCCCTCTCAATCTCGCCCTTCTTCAACCCTCTTCTTGGTATTTTCTTCTTTTCATTCTATATTGATCAATCTTTATTTTGGGTTTCTTGTTGCAATAATAATCATACGAAGAAAAACAGTTATACCCTTTCTATGATTACATAATATGGTCATATTATTTGCACTTTTTCTTTTGTAAATATTCAATTTTGTTTTGGGTTTGATGTATTTTTTTTCTTCTTATATATAGCAATTAGCAATTGCATGAGTTATACCCTTTTAGCAAAGTGTTAAGATCTTTGTAAAATTTGGGCATGTTTGGTAAATTTACCAATTGCAGTTGCAGGTAATTAGTGTACTAGTGTGTAGCTGTTCTACTAGATGTCAGTGATTAAATGCTGATTGTTAACCATTTGGTGTCAAGTTAGAAAGTTTTCAAGGTAATTCTATAGGTACATTTGGTTTTAGGATGAATTTCTGCTGCGTTTGAAAGGTTATCTCAAGCTCTAATAATAGCTACTTTGAAACCACTACCCTGCCAAACACCGAAGTTCAGTACTTCAGTTTAGTGGTATCTTGACCTATTCAAAACTCCAATTATAGCTGCTTGCTGGAATTTTCTTATGAAAAAACCCTATGCGTATTACTGCTTTTGGTTGTTGATATACTATCATAACGTTTTTTTTGGGCTAATTAGTAAGGAATTCAAGCAACAAGCTTAGTAAGCTAGGATATCTTCCAAGTTACAATTGTTTGATTAATCAGTGGGATGTGCTGGATAATATAGAAGCCCAAAATGTGGCTTTTCTCTTTAGGTGAATATAGAGAATAAAGGCAGTTCATGAATACAAAATTTTTAAGGCGTTAGGCTGATAGGAGAGAGGATGTGCTATAGGGATAAGTATGATATGCAAGGAGTGTAAGGAGGAAAAGAACCCTTAATTCACCTAGTAAAATATTCACGGAAAGAAGATGATCATGATGATACAAAATGTATTACAGGATTGTAGTTTCCCTCCTACCAAATTTTAATATGGAAAAGATCACTGAGATGCAACTGAAAATTGCAGTTACCTATACACTTGCAGTGAGAAGTGACTAAGTGAGAAGAAGGTAAATGGGAAGTTTTTTTGCGGAACAAACCATAAGAGAGAAATTGCATTTTTTTGTGGGTGGAGGGAATACTATGCTTTTGGAGCTGGTTAGCAATGAAGGGATTGGACAAGAATCTCATGTGAAGGAGGTCCAAATAGATGATTTAAGTTAATGTGTCCCGGTCAATGAGAAAAACCCAACAGTGAAAGTTTTATAGACTATGCACTAGGAACTATGGCTTCATCAACAGGTGCTTAGATGAATAGGAAAGCTACACTACATCTGGAGAAATGGTCACCTTTTGTGTCAAGTAGTGTTTTCATTAAGCAAGATTCGATTAAAGCTAGTTTAAGAGAGAAAAAATCCACTTTGGCTCTCACCATTGCCTATTGCTTACTTCTTTCCAGTCTACTTACACAAAAAGAAAATGTAGTAACTTTTGTTTGGGTCAGGAGTGAATGTTTTGTAGCAGATGCCTGCCAGACTAATATTAGTTCATGCTTGGTTTTTGGTGACCTGAGAAGGAGAACATGGCTACTAGGTAATCACTTGATTATATTGGCATGGTGTTGGTTTAGTTTATGCGTGTACTGTGTTAGTTGATAAGTTACAAAAAAAAGAGAGGGGGGAGGGGATCAGTTTGATGGTTCATGCAAGTTAACCTGTGATAGCTTGAAGTCTAGCCTAGATGTAAATACAATCTTAAATATGGTTAAAAGGTGGTGATAGTATGAAGTCTAGCCTAGATGCAAAATGTAATCTTTTGTTTGGATCAGGAGTGAACGTTTTGTAGCAGATGCCAAGTGCCAGACTTCTATTAGTTCATGCTTGGTTTTTGGTGACCTGAAAAGGAGAACATGGCTACTAGGGAATTACTTGATTATATTGGCATGGTGTTTATGTGTGTACCGTGTTAGTTTTTATGTGCGTACTGTATTAGTTGATAAGGAAAAAAAGGGGGCATGCATATTAACCTGTGATAGCATGAAGTCTAGCCTAGATGTAATTGAGTACAATTTTCATACAGAAAAGTCCTAGTAAATTGACTTTGATCTATCTTTACTCCTCTCTTGGGTGGGGTTATACTATTTGTCGTTTTCAAAATTTCTTGGTGTTGCTGATTATTCATTTTGGTGCAAATGTTTTTTTGGGCTGGTAATTAGTAAGGAATAGTAAGCTGGGATATCTTCCAAGTTACAATTTTCTGATTAATCAGGGGGCTGTGCTTGAGAGTTGAGAATATAGAAGCCCAAAATGTGGCTCTTCTCTTCAGGTGAATATATAGGTTAGAGCCAATAGAGGTACTTTCTTAGTTTCATGAATACAATTTTGTTAGTCATTGAGGCTGATAGGAGAGATGATGTTCTAGAGGAACAAGTATGATATGCAAGGAGTGTGAGGAAGACAAGGAAAGGAAAAGAACCCTTAATTCACCTTGTAAAATATTCAAGGAAAGAAGATAATCATGATGATACTTAAAATTGTATTACAGGATTGTTGTTTCCCTCCTAACAATCTTAATATGGAAAAGATCACTGAGATGCAACTGAAAATTGCAGTTACCTATACTTGCAGTGAGAAGAAGGAAATGGGATGGTTTTTGTGGGACAAACAATAAGAGAGAAATGGGTTTTTTTATTTATTTTTTTATTTTTTTTTTTGGGTGCAGAGGGTATACTATGCTTTTGGAGCAGGTCAGCAATGAAGGGATTGGACAAGAATTTCATGGGGAGGATGTCTAAATAGATGAGTTAAGTTTTATGTGTCCTGATCAAAGAGAACAATCAAATAGTGAAAGTTTCAATGACTGCACTAGGAACAATGGCTTCATGACCAGGTGTTTGGATAATCTTGAGAAGTGCTCCCCTTTTCGTGTCAAGTACTGTTTTCATCAAGTAAGGTTTGACTAAAGCTAGTTCCAAGAAATCCACTTTGTCTTTCACCATTGTCTATTCACTCAATTGTCTACTTCTTTCCAGTCTACTTGCACAAAAAGAAACTGCAGTAACTTTTGTTGGGGTCAGGAGTAGATGTTCTGTAGCAGATTACAAGCGACAAACTTCTACTAGTTCATGCTTGGTTATTGGTGACCTGAGAAGGAGAATGTGGCTGGTTATGTTGGCATGGTATTGGTTTAGTCTGTGTGAGTAATGTGTTAGTTGATAAGAAGAGAGGGGGGGGGGGGGAGGGGGGTTCAGTTCAATGGTTCATGCAAATTAATTTGTGGTAGCATGAAGTCTTGCCTAGATGTTAGTACAAATTTTAAAAATGGCTAAAAGGTGGCGATTGAGAATACAGGAAGAAATTGTGGTTGATAGTCTAGCTCCAAAAATCTATTTTCCAGGCAAATTTTCTCAACTAGCCTCGGTTGGAAGTATGGTGATCCCTATCTCAATTGGAAGAGAGGGGGCGGGGTGTAGGGGGTATTTTGGGGGATGGCCGGATAGGCTTTGAACCTGGGATAATACACTACCATCATAAAGGTAGCACCATTGTTTGCTTGGGAAGACGAAATAAATTCACATGATATATTTACTTCAGTTAGTTTACTAAATGCCATGCATGATGATAGTAATACTGAAATCAGATAGCTTTGGTATTTTCCGTTTAAAATTCATCTTACAGTGGGGCACAAAGGACCCATTCTGAGTCTGTGGAGGTCATCTGAAGACTGGAGAGGTTTTGTGCAACCCACAAACTGGATTGCCTATATGGGAGGTTAGGCTGAAAGACCTGGTATTTAAAAGGAAAGTGAAATGCTGTAATTATGAAATGGACATCTGCAATTACCTATGTGTAATTTTCTGCTTGGAGAATTAATTTATGGTATCTTATGAAAAAAAATTAGGAATTGGATGGAGATTCTCTTAACTTTTTAACCCCGCATTTCACAGTTGCTCAATTTCATTAGTAGGGTGTCTTCAGGAAAATATGAAAGTCTTTTTTTTAGTTGGTAATACTTGGGTCTCTTTGAAAGAGAATAAAAGATTCAACAAAACGAGAGCTATTTGGAATATATATGGTCTACTCATTTTGGGAAAGATTGTATGTGGTTTGATGTCAACTTTTCTTACAATCCCACAGTGATTTCTTATGGAACCCAACTGCTTGAAGAGGGGAAAACACTGGCGAGTTTTGCACCTTCCTCTCCCCATCATCACAACCAAATAGAGGATTTTTAAGTGGAATTTTGGTTCTAAGAAATTATCAAGCATTGTCGGTTGAAATGCTCAGGTGCATTCTCTCGTATCTGAATCAACTATCTAGAAGATAATGAAAAGCTGAGATTGCCATACATAAGTTTTGAAGTGATAGAAATCTCATTGGATTATTTTAGAAGGATATTAAATCAGAGTTGAAGAATACAATGGGAGTGTTGCTTTCTAGCATCGACATTTCAGCCGTTCTATTGAGGTGGAGTGGGTGACGATTTCAGCATAGAGTTAGTGAGTTCCTTGTTGATCACTACCACAGCAAAGATATGATAGGAGAAATTATGGCATGGATATTCTTATTTTTTAATTGGCTCTTCCTAAATGTGTCTTGTTTTGGTGTGTGGTATTGGCCCCAGGGGTGCCATTTAGGCAGCTTTTTCAATGTGCTACTATAACCAGTTTATGTCATCACTTGGAGTTTATCAATAGAGCATCCCATCTTCTTAGGGAAAGGATCAATCAGAGTGCTTCATGATCATGAATTACATACAATAGTTGGAAGTGGGCATTTTCACAAAATTCTATCATAATTAGGTTTGTTATTTTTGGTTGTGGGTGTTTAATTATTTAATGTTCAGGAAGGAAGAGTTTGAAGTAATGTATGTCAATACGCTGGATTTTTGCCTTTTGCTTATAAACTGCTGGAAAGACATAGAAGAATGTAATTAGTAAAACACCTTGGTACTTTGGTAGCTGTTACCTGGAGAGATGATGGTTTTAGTACACCTCACAAATAGCTGAAGTTGTACTTTTAGTGTTTAGTTCCCTACTGTTAAAATTATTGGCCACTCTAAATCTTAAGAAAATTGTCTTTTGATTTCCCTTCTCCTTCCCTTTCAAAACCTAAAGTAATCAGAAAAGGAATATCTATATGTTTTTATTATATATATATTTTTTAATCTAAAGGCTACATCATCTTCACTTTAGAAGCTAATTATGTTGTGCTATCCCACAGTGACACTGTCATGCAGAAGGGGCATTCTTCAATGTTGTCATTTACTGTCCCTGACCTCCATGGTACAGTGACAAAATTAGCTTCATTAGGTGCAGAGCTGGATGGTCCAATTAAGCTTGAAATCCATGGAAAGGTTAATAGCTACTCCTTTTACTAAAAACAAAATACAGTACTGTCATATAATTCAAAAGGATCTAAGTCGGTTGCCATTGTGATTAGGTTGCAGCCATGCGATGTTTGGATGGCCACATGATAGGCCTTTATGAACCCCTTTGAGATCTTTGGCCATGAAAGAACATTATGACATCTGAAGAGTTTTCTTGAATATATCCGACCTTTTACATATGGAATGAACGAGTCACCTTTCCTTCTTTTGGGTTCCCTTCAATGATAGATAGTGTTGGTCCATCAAGATCGAATACGGCTGTGCACAATGTGTACAATGTTGGTCCTGAAAATCACAGAGATGAGCGGCTATATCGAGTTTTCTGTAAAATAGGATATTGAAGAAGGGATCATGCAGGTTCCTATTTACCTGACATGTAGATGGGATATCTTTTGTCATCTATGTCTCCAAGGAGTGAAAGGAAATCTTCTTTTGATTCTTGCGGCAGTGCAGCTGCCCGTTTTTGTCTGCTACTTGAATTTTCATCTTGTATCTATGACAATAAAGACATGATAATATGCAATATCCAATTTGATTAGTTTGATTAAAAAGAGCTACTTCAAAGACTGAAAATGATAATAATGGAGTTCTATTGTTTTTTGTACCTGTGGAACTTGAAGGTGAAGGTACATATTTGCATGGAAGAATGGTGTTGCATAGACCTCATAGACTGAAAATCGATTCCTTGATGCTGTTTCTATATTCAGAATATTTCGTTTTGATATATCGATCAGGTTATAGCTATGTCCAATAGACACTTCTGATGACTGAATTTTCTGAAGACACATGAATAATGACTATTAAAATCTCTTTCAGATGCTCATTTGGATCAAAGTACAAGTAGTCTTAATTTGGCTTTCAACCTTCAGAGCATCACTACTGCTCGTTGCTTCAAGCAGATCTCTCGAAATAAAGTTCCGCCCAATGCCTCCAGCTACAATTTCATCTTCACGAGGTGGTACCGAGTTCAACGTGAATGCCTTGAAAAATATCATTAAGGTACATTAATGGCTTAACAAATATACCTAACCTCGTGAAAGGATATAATTTCATGCTGGAAAGGAAGCTTCATTTGATAAATAGGGTTTAGTTCTTTTTTGGCATACTCTCTGTTTTTATATTACTCTTCTGCTGCAGTGTTGCCTCACCTCAATCCCTCAAGAAAGAACAAAGTATGTGTGACCTCTAAGAGTACTACTACGTATGTAGTACGAGTAGTATATGATAAGTTCAGAGATTACCAATCCATGACTGTTAAAGCCAAATGCACAGCTTGGAAGCTCCCCGGCGTATGTATATGCTGTGAAGGAAAGTCCATTGCCTAAATTCGCTTGGATCAAGTATCTGCAACAAAATAGGATGCAATATATTAATACTGCTACATTCGAAATATCAAGTTGCATATCCTAACTCAAGCCATTATTGCTTGCATAATCATTGATTTGTTTGGTTATTACTCAGCTCAGCTCAGAACTTCAACTCTTTCACCTTAACACATACTCCGTATCATACTGTACTGAACAGGATCATGCTTACGTACGTGTGACCAACTAGAGCAATATTTGCATCTTCATTGTGCGCTGCAATGGCCATACTGCGACTTACTACCAGAATGGTAGAGCAATCATCTGGTGTGTCTTCAGGTATATTCGCTCCTTCGTTCTTTGGCATAAATGCTAATATCTCTTTCCTGAAGTTGATAAGTATTATCTGCACATTAAGAGAGTAAAAAAAAAAAAACAAAAAGACTTCATAAGCCACCCAAAATAATGCTATCCTGCAACAATAGCTGAAGATAACACAAGCATATAAAGCGAAACCAGGTTCATGATCTTGTACATCAAGAACAGGCACACCACTTCCTTCCGCAATCCCAACGAGCTCATCCCAGTAACGCGGGAACTTGCTCCGGTTGTTTTCAGTAAGAGAATCGATTAGCGGTTCTGCAAGGTGGGTTTTGGCATAAGGCCGGAGTTGAGTTTGTAGAATAAGGTCTGCTGCTAATCTGCTCTTTATCAAGGATGAGAATCGCTCCCCAATCAGATACCCCATTTCATAGGAGCTATTACACGGTCCAACTTCAAATATCTCCATGAATATTTTCTTATAGTACTTTCCCAGTATATTTTTTGGTTGTTTGGTATAATCAAATATGTTGATGAAGTTACTACATGTGATTATGTAAAGCTTAGCTCCATCTCTTCTTCTAAGTTGTAACCTTATCTATTCAGCCTCTACCTCACATCTTTGAATGCTGGGCCTTTGGGCCCAATTATTTGCCTTCAATACGGCATTTTATAATTGTTCAAGATTAAATATTGATTTTGGGCCTTGATATACATTTGATGGGACAATAGTCTTACACTAGCAAGTTGTCCCCTGCTCCCCTTTATGGTTTTCTTGATGTCATAAACTCTAGAAATCCAGCAAGAGTCTGTGTAGAACTAATGACAATTTTAGCTTTTGAGGATACAGTGGCCGGGCAGTAATGCCATCCGGCGCAAGGGTCTTCCCTGGTGGACCTTGTGTTGTTGTGCCTGGCCGCGGTTATTTAAAGTCTAGCACTTTGCATCGAACATGGCACATACTTGTATCATAAAAGGTAGTTGTAATCTGTAGTTTTCAGTTCAACTGATTCTCTCTTTGTTTTTCTTTTTCTTTTTTTTTCTTTTTTCTTTTTCATTTTTTTAGTAAAAAACCCTATATTAGTCTTGAATGTAAATGGTATTTGATGGTTGACAGACACTAAGTGGTTGCAAGCTACATTGCCTTGCGCGAGTTGCGCCTTTGCTCGCATTTTATGGAAGTTATTAAAATCAAATGAGGTTGAATATTGTACTGTATTATCATTTGTTTGGTACGTAGTATGTTAGAAGTAACAAGCCAACTGCCACTCTTCTAGTTATGTTACCCCCTTTGCATTTAGCTGAGTAACAAGTTGGAGCTTAACAGTAACGCTTCCAGCTACATAATATTGCCCTTAACTCGCAAGTTCGATGCTTATTTGCGAAGGGGGGAGGGGGAGCCATGATTCACATTAAACAAGGACCAACACACCAGTAACCAGGTTCCACCATTTAACAAACCATAAATCTAAGGCACCATCCTTGTAAATTTCTACCCTTTGCATGAATTACTTAAAGTTCGCCGTCTTTGGCATTTAATCGACTGAAACCAAGGCAAAGCACAATTGAACTTGTAAAATGGAAGTGCATGTTTTAGTTATATATGTTACTCTTCCTATATTACACTTTAAAGACGACTATATAGGTCAACAGAATAATACCACATTTATAATTATGAATTCTTTAGATCGACAAATTTCAAAAATCAAGAATCCATGCAAAATCACCTCCCTATACATCCAATTAATTTAGGTGAAATGTATATACGTATATACTCCATTGTCATATGTGTACCTGACAATGGCTAATTATCTAATTAAACTTATCCATTGATAAAATGAATGATTCAAAATTAACGTTGACCTGAATATTTTATTTCCGATAGTGCTAGGTTATCATGTCGGCTCAACTTTTACCTTGTTGAAATATGTCTCTTCAAACACGGATGATAAAATTGGATCTAGCCGATTGCCAATATATGAGGCTTCTGTTAGGGTGCAACAAATATTGAGGTACAACCATACACCCACGATTGCTTGAAATTGTACACATTAACACGACAACAAACACAATTGAAGCAGAGTAGTTGAGCACATTGTTTCTAAAACTGTAGCCAAACATATTTTACGATGGAATCTTAACCAACAGCTGTTAGATTAATTTTAGTACGTAACGAATGACAATTCGTCGTCAGTACTACCACCAGGAAGATTTCACTGCCCCACTAAATATATGGCTTTCCTTTCAATCAGTAGGAAATGCATCACTGCAGTGAACTCCACTCTACTACAGGATTTTTTTGAAATACGGGGTACTCTGATCCCAATTATCACAACAATAACAGACATTATTACACAGTGTTATATTATTAAGTAACGAAGGGAGTAAATAAATAAATAACCTTATTTTTCTTTATTTGAAATTAATTACCTAAAGTTATACTCGTAATAGATTACATTAGTTGTAAACTGAACTTGGATAACCTTACTTTAAAAACTTTCATCAAAACTTATCGAAACTAATTAACCTTATTTTCTTTGAAACAAGTAGGAATTATAAGGTAAGCAGAATATGACCTTAGCGATTGATCGTTAACCTTAAACTATCGTTTTGGACGATTGCAAGAACAAAGAGCGTAATAAAAATCGATCTCTAAGGTCATAAGCAAAATTAACCTAAAAAATTTATATATATAAAAAATAATAATAATAATAACCCCAAATAAAGGTCCAAACAATGAAAGAAAATACGGAAATTGTACCAATATAAAAATGATGCTACCTTGGAAATTACTTGAAACTTGAAACAACCCCACTAGTGTACAGGCAGTGTACAGCTGATCTCTTCTGCATCAATTTTTTTTTTTTTAATTATTATTATTAATTTTTAAAAGATAGAAATTCTACTGTGTTGTATTTTTTTTACAGCTAATAATTATTTCATTTTACAGCATTATATTATTTGTTCTTTATCAAATAATGAACGACATACTATTGCCAGTTTTGTTATCTTTCGAACTATTGTATTGTACTTGTATTAGATCTTTTCAATTATGAGTTTTTTTTGTTTTTTTTATTTTTATGTTTTTTAAGTGATGAGTAACATGAGTTGATGTGTCTCTCTTTTTCCTTGCTAAATATCTAATAATTTGTTTTCCTGTAGACAAAGAAATCATAAACTGTTATAAAAAGGGTTTAAAAAACAATATAGGATGCTCCGAAAAAGGTTTAAACATAGTTCCTAAATCCTAGCTAATTTGCCAAACTTTATGAAACTTGTTTGTTTGCTTCTTGTGCTTGTGTCTTGATACACTGAACTTAAGGTAATCAACACATAAATTCTTGATTTTTTAAGTGTTTATAAGCTAATAATTGATGGGAATTAGGGATCTGAATTTGTAAAAGCAGGTAGGAATTATTAGTAAAGTTCACTGTATTATCTGAATGCATGACTGTGCTTGGTAGTGGCACGGCCGTGCCAACTAATGGTGCGGCCGTGCCACCGTGGACCGTGGTGACTAAGGCACGGATCAATTCAACTAATACTAGAGGTTGTGACTGCTTGTAATTTAGACGTCAATCGCTAATTAATTGTCAAGTCAACCAACATAGGAAAAAAATAAATTAAACAGATGTAGACAGCGGATCATCAAGGTCTCTATCGGAATCAAAGTCCACTTAACCAACCAAATCATTGCCACTTTTACTATTCTTAGTATATGTGCTCAAATTACCTTGCAAATTTTAGAGATGGTAGTCGGGTAATAAAAGGTTAGGTGGATCATCACATGAGCCTTATATTTTTTGGGGTGAGTATGAGTATAGTATAATCTTAATGGTAGTGATGGTAGTGGAACATCATATAATCTTAATCTAATTCTTAGGTTATTGCTTTATTATTATATTTGTATGGCCAAGTAAACATTACTAACAATTTAAGAAATTACAAGACGTATTAGAACGAACATTTCCTCCAAACCCTTCATAGTCTATTACCGAATACTATTGTTATAGTTTAAGTGTTATTAATTCATGTGACTTTCGCATTTTAAATTAGTCGAGGAAGAAAGTATAATACTCCGTAGTACAAGTAACTTGATAGTTTCCATGAGGATCCCTTATATCAACAGTATAATATAGACGAGATATGATCCCTTATATCAACAGTACGTCAGTCTGCATATCATCACGGATTCACGGCACAACTAAGACTTGACTAAGTATAGCACTCCATAGTACTGTAATTGATAGGGTTGAGAATGAAGCATATATGCATTAGATTAAGGTTGATGAAAGTATATAGACAATAAAAAAACACAAGAGAATATGTAAGTACAAGTACAAGTAGAAAGAAACAAAAGATAAACAAGAATATGTGGTGGCAAAGGTAAAAACATAAACCCACCCTAATTAATTATTAATTAAATAATTAATATAAAAAAAGTGATTAGAGATTCGCTTTAGAAAGATTAGAAGAAATGGCAGGCATTTTGGCACCTGTCAATCATTGGGCGATTGGGAGGGAAGCACTATGCTTTCGGTGTCTACTGTATTCTGTGCCATTTATTTTTTATTTTTTCCCCATTTACAAATTTTCCCATTTTACACTGTTTTGACCATGTTTGTTTTTGCTCACATTTCTTGGTTTTCCAATGCTTTTGCCTCTTCCGTATTATTGGACCAAATCAACCATAATGTATTATTCATATCACTTATCTTGTCTTTGAGTATCTTGCAATTTTTTTTCATTCAAAGTTGCCCTAGCTTATAAAAAAAATTCACACAATAATTTTAAAAAAGTCAACCACAAAAGTATAAGAGGAGATGTCTTTCTAGATGTTAAATTTTCATTATTTCAATCATAAAAGTGTTATTGATTCAACGACTAATAACACAGAAAATAGCTCTTAAAGTAAACTTTGTCATAAAGTTTATATGGAATTGACTTCATGTTACAATTTGTTATAAGGGTCGATAAATAAAAGAGACAATAATGATTCTAAGCTACTTGTATTTCTTCCCTTCAAAAAAAAAAGCTACTTGTATTTCTTGATATGTGATTTTATGTTTTTATCCTAATATGATCCTCGTCGTAAATAAATAATGCAATAACATTTATTTCTAGGCGTGTGATGGATTACTTGGATTGTTGTATTTGTATAGTCTACCCTTTTATTGTCACAAGTTTTATTATCCCTACATTACACATCTGTAGGCCGATTTATTAGAAGATAAGTTTCACTAATTTGAATCCATAGTACTTCCTCCGCCCACAATTATGTACAACAAAGGAATATTTTAAATCTCACAAATAATACCCCTTTATTGCACATAATTGTGGGCGGAGGAAGTATTTTAGTTCTAACTACCCATAATAAAAATAAATAAATAAATTATTTTATTGGAAAAAAAAAAGTTCCTATACCAGGCCAGTTGTACAGCAAAATTAGATAAAAGGAAAATGAGATAAATTTTCAAAATACCAACTAATTATAATAAAAGGCTGATAATTAGAAAGTTAAGTAATAGAAAATTGAAAAGTATGAAGCTAGCAGATGACATTAGTTAAGAATTAAGAAGAGTATTTTTTTTTTTTTTTTTTTGAGGGGTATTAAGAAGAGTACTTAGCTGAACTGATTGTCTGAAATAACATAAAAATATAAAATGAAGTAGAGGACCACGTTTAAATTAATAGATTAAAATTAGAGTCCATGAGGGTATGACTGTATCTGACTTGTACTTAACTGTGAGTGATGCAGGTGTGCGAGATCTTTGTCCTCAAATTGTCCTTCTTTTGGGTGTTTGAGTTTCTGCTTCGCTTTCGGTTTATAGTACAATCAATTTTAATTAATTATTCGGAGTTTAAAATAGACTTGTTTCTATTAATGGATAGAGTTATGCACCACGGCACATATACATAAATTTCTCGATTTGTATATACTATATGTACTATATATTCAAGTAATAGCTTGAATAATTAACTTAATCAAACATAAATTCTATGATGAACTAACATGAATTCAAACTTCTCAATTAACCAGACATGTTATTAACTAATTGATACGTGGTAACATCTGATGGTGATCGATCATTTTTTAATATTGTTTTGCATGAAAAGTCCCATGAAAATTTTGCAATACATCAATATATGTTACCTTTGCACCTATGTACCAATTAATTCGATCTGTTAATAAGGTTGTAAGATTAGTTTAATTTAATATTAACATGGATTAAACTGTATACAGGAGCTGTCTACTATTCACGCACTATAGTTACAAGAGGTAATATTTATTTAGTGTAATGATAATA